CATTTACAGTTGGGTCACAAACGTACAGGTCGGTGCAGTTGCGTGCTTTTCCTCGATGTCCAATAGAGTTTCACCGTTTATTTCCTAAAGGATTTTTACTAGATTTTTTTCCTACCAGCCACTTTGCCTCGGGATTTCACATTTAATCGCAGCAGGAATAGCTCAGTAGCGCTTGACTGTAGAGCGGAAGGTCGTGGGTACGATTCCCGGGGCCGGACCAATACTCACGGTTTTAAAATAACTGAGAAATAAAGCTTGGCCCTGCAAGCGGCTAGACCTTCGCGTCGCTAGGATGATCTCTTGAAATGGCGGCCCCGTCTCCAGTGGGAGACGTAAAATAGTGTCTCCAATTAGCACTTCAGTGCGAAATCGTTGACACTCAAATAAAGTGCATATATTCTACTTTACTGTTTTCTCAGAACTGTTCTGAAGTATAAATTAACTTTTTCCATGATCAAAAACGTCTTGCTATTTGAGTCCACTTTTCTTCACCTACACGTAAGAGAAAGCTACCCAACCCCCCCCCGCCACCAAACCTCTAACCTTGTTGCTTTGAATTTGCTTCAGTTTTTAAATGGAAATTGGGACGCAAACTCAGTGCAGTACCACTCTCTTAAGGTGCCATTCTGGGCCCGTTATGTCCGAATCGTTCCTACTCACTGGTATAACCACATATGTCTACGAGTGGAGTTGTATGGTTGCAAATGAAACAAGGTGAGAGTAGAAGAACAACCACCATAGGGAATAAAAGTGTTTTTCAATCGCTGATAAGTAGCCCATGACATATAAACAGGGTATTTCATATCCCTAAATGTGTCTCGGATACTCTGATATGCAGGTGCTATGGTATGTAACACTTATGGCAGACCTAGGGTGCGTTACTTTGAGATGGTCAGGATCAGGATCTGTGATCCGAGATCACTCGGATCATGGTAGATCAAATGAACCGATGAATCCTTGTCCAGAGCTGATTCATCGGTTCATTTGATGCAACATGCTCCGAGTGATCTCGGATCACTGATCCTAATCTGGATCACTCCAAAGGAACTTACCCCTAGAATTATACCACGTTCCCCCTAAAATTGGTAGCAGTCACCTATGAGAAGCTCAAACTATAGGGCATTGATTGAAAAAGTTTGTTGTTTTAGGTGGGCCCCTCACGAGATGTAGTCGCATATGCAGATTTGACCAAGTTAATATCCTCTATAATCTCTTTGCTTATTGTATTTTCTTTCAGGTCCATACTAAAGGCCTTTGCGTTGAAAACTCAAAGATGACTTAGATGCAACATTTTAATCAATCCAACAGAATAGTCAACTCCAAAAACTGAGCTTTGAAACCAGTTTTTAATAACGATAAAAACCCTATTTACAATAATAATAATAATAATAATAAGTTAACAACTCTTTCATCCTATCAATAAATACTTTTCAACTTACGAATGTGGCACTTGCATCATTATCTCCAAGTGGACAAAGTAGAATCGTTACAGGTAATATACCTACATGTACACAAGAATGATTTTCTAACTAGCAAAAACACCTGCCAGTATCATTTCTGTACGTAATAAACTGAATTTCCATCTTAAGCTAATTATAAACTTAATTGAAGAGCAGGGCATAACAACTTCATATTCCGGTAGCATTCTACTCGCACAATTTTCACATTTTAAAAACGTAATCCAGATTGACTGATTGACAGTCATTCTAGACCTCTCGACATCACACAATGCTTCACGCTCTGCAGAGAGGACTCGGAAACTGCCAATGTTGAAGGGGCTACCTCACTATTTGCTATCTTTTTCCCTGAATAGTTAAAACAAAACGTGTCTTCTTAGCAATTACCAAAAATAATGGTTTAAATTTGTTATTCAGGACTGTTTCCTGTTGTCTGTCGTTACTAATGGCAAGGGTGGACATGGATTTAATCTTTAATTTTTTTTCACGTTTTAATGCTATGCCTGCAAAAATCACCAAAGAATAACGGTAAGAACTCTTTGATGAACTTTGTTTGATATTTATTTGGGTAAAGGTAGTAATTAATGACATTTCAGAATTGGCCTAGAACAACACTTTCCTCGTAACATAGCCCTTTTAAGAGTGCATGTAGTGTTATATGACAGAGGGCCAGGGTTCATCCGCCAATTGTGAGGCGAATCTACGTGATCATGTGTTATGTGGACCTTGTTCTCAAAACGGATCGCTTAATCTGAAACCGCATATCCAGATACAATTTCAGGGATTCAATTTAATAATCCGGACGTAGATTGTCTAAAAGTTGTGTTTTTGTGCACTACGAGAATTTTTCTTTTTCAAATGATGACCTAACCTTGTTAGCGTATGTTTAAAGGAACAGAAGTGCCTGTGCTTCAACTCCAAAAAGGACAAAATATACTTTCGCAAATAAGCAGAAATAGTACTTTTGATTAATTGTGATGAATGTGATCTTTTCTTCCAACTCACACTGGCTCTTCAAGCCATAAAGCTAATCAACACCAAACAACACCAGTACAACAGTGATTATAAATAAACAAACTCTCCGCATGTGTACCATAGCAACGTGTAGCAAATGTATGAAAAATAGTGCAGAGAATATCCACGTTCACGTTAGGCTTTACAGCAGGTTAAAACAAGAAACAAGAAAAGTTGTTAATGAACCCAGCTCTTCAAAAATATTTGTGAACAATACTCAGATACAGGCGAAATCAATGGAACAATAATTAACTGTCTCTACAAAACAACAATAACCAATAATATATTATAGTTCACAATTTGCAACACAGATCTTGAGTACAACTGACTACATACTTATACGGTGCTCTGACTCTTACTTATCACGATCATAAAGAATCAAGGACATTACAACAAACTTTTCAGCTTTTACAGTCAAACCTGTATTAAGTGGACCTCTATTAAGCGGTCGCTTACCGAAGTCCAAAAATCATTTCACTTAATTACTGTAAAACTGACCTATATTAAATGATCATCTCTATTTGACGGTCGCCGTCAACTTTTCCGATGTGCCAACGAGTTCTTTACTGTCATCACCTATATTAAACGCGGCACCATACTAGTGCAACAGAAAGAGGGTCTGAATGGAGTTAAGTGTTTAGTGTTACTTGCCCATAATTTTTAGTGTTTGCTGTTAAATTGGCCAATTTTTTTAATGTTTACTGTTTCCGAAGAAAATTAAGTATTTGGAGGGTTTTCCGGACATCTTCGGCAACGGTTGGTCGTCTTTGGAAATCTTCGACAGTTTTCGGGAATCGTCGGTGGCCTTCGGTAATCTTCTGAAATAATCCGGAATTGTCGTAAAATGGCGGACAACTCCTTGATATACTAAACAAAATAATATTGGCCTTTATAGAGCCGTTTTTGCCTCTTTCTGGAAAAAATGTACTGTTTCAAAGAATTTTTTTAGTGTTAGTGTTAAAACGCCTAAAATTTAACTGTTTCACGTTACAAAGCCAAAAAATGAGGTGTTTAGTGCTATCGAGGTATCCCCATAAAGACCCTCCAGAAAGACTGTGCATATCCTTTAGTAGCCTTTTCTTTCCTTTCCCTTTGACACAAGAGGAATAAATTCTTTGAAAACAATTTCACTGGAATAGATATTTCGCTCTTCCATCATCTTCATTTTATTGAATAACTCTAAGGTTGGTCAAAACAGTATTTTATAATGGTCAAGCTGTATTAAGTAGTTAGTAAGCCATTCCTCAAGAGTAACCGCTTAACACAGGTTTGACTGTCTGTTACATGTACAATAATTAACAACTCTGATTAATTTTTTCCTGTATGGCTCTCTATCCAACTTAAAGAAATCAGCAGTTCGAAGCTAGCATTGGAAAAATGTTAGCTCTTAAATCCTTTAACAGTAGCAAATTTACAGGTATCTTAAAGACTCAGTAACCGAAGCCAAAGCTTGTTTTTTTTCCGCTACAGATGAAGCTAGATGATCATGCAGCATTACACTTTCATTTGAAACAAACACACACCTTAGTAAAACCTGATTGTATTAAGAGCCGAGTGTCTTTCTCCTGACAAGAACACTGTATTCAAAACACACCTCAATGTCAGAAAGTTAGCACCTCCCATGAAAAGGCACTGGGCCAACCGAGCAACAATGCAATGCTTACCAGCAACGCCCTTTAGTTTCTTGACATTTTCCATTTGCACATCTCCCATAATGTCTCGTTTGCAAACCAAAGTTTTGCATAACCTAAGGCTTTGTTTTTCATTTCGCCTGGGTATTGCAGTTGCCTTAGGAGAAATTGACGACACTGCTTATGCAAAGGTTTGGCGGAACGCAAAAATGGTGCATTATGGGAGATGTGCAAGTGGCGAATTGTTAAGGCTTGATAACCAATTGTGACCTCTCACGTGATAAAGTTCCGAACGCTAGCCGTTCGAACGCTGAACGGAACGGCAAGCGAACGGGCGACGAACGGTTAGGCAAGCCGTTCGAAACTGTGTTATTCATTCAGATTTGGAAGGATATAATAATCACACATTAAAAAGTAACTCTTATGAACGGTACCATTTACCGTTGTTGTCATTGTTTGAGTAAAACAAGGAAACTTAAAAAACCAAAGAAACCAGCTCTACTAGATGATCATTAAGAGAGAGTTGATTGTATTGTACAGTGTATTACTTCTGCCAGTCAAAAAGTGACTACAAGCTGTATGCTGATTGAAAGAGGCCCAACGTAAATTTACATACATTTGTATAAAACTTCATCAAAGTAAATAAACTTGATAAATAACTTTAAAATGTAGGGTAACACTATTATATTATTATTATATTTTAAAAAACCTCCATTAGTATCAGTATTTACTCGTAAAGTGGTACAATAATAAGTGCGTTCTACACAGAAACCTGACAATATGCTGCACACTTGTGACCATTTTAGTTTAAGATAGCAACAACCACACGTTTTGTGATTTTGCTTAAATTTTGCTAAATGTCTCTATTTTCCTGATGCCTCCCAGATTTTTGCCACAGTCAAGGATCGTACCAGACATGATAAAATGAGATTACAGTTAAACCCTGTTAGATGGACACTGAGGGGGCCATAAAAAGTATGGACTCAGGGTGCAAAGAAAGTCAGTTTTACAGCCTGCCAATCGGGCAAGCTGTAGCTAGCATTTACTAGCCCACAAGTCATTTCAACTAGCCCCAATACCCTTTTTCGTTGGCAGGATTGATAACAATCCTTCCGTAATTTGAATTTCCCAAAAAAACAGCACTTGCCCGTCGGGCAAGTTAAGAACAAGAATCACGAGCCCGAAAGCAAAATCCACTAGCCCCGGGCTATCGGACATGACTTTCTTTGCACACTGGTCCATATTAATGGGATGAATTCAGAGAAAATGTAAGGGCTAGGGACAAGGAAAACTGTCTGAAATAGGCCTTTGGCAATAGTTGCTTACGAGATCAATTTTCTGTAAACACCAAAACAGTTTGCTTTTCGAAAATTTTGTTAGCAGGAACTAAAAGAGCATACTAAAATTAGGTAACCCGTAAATTTTCAGCTGTATATCTCAAAAGTAGCAGTTGGTGGCGGTTGCCACCAGAAATTAGAAGGATCTGTATGGGAATAACAACTCTTGCCACCCAGTCATGGTCAATTGGCTTTCCATACTTGTAAATTTTGAAATTTTAAAACTGTGATTAAATCTTTCTCCTGTACATTTGTGGGCTCAAATTTTCTGTTATGAGAAAAAGATAATTTGAGCCCCGTAATGCTTAGGGAAGTATTTTATGACTGCTTTGTATGGAAAACCACTCAACCGTGACTGGGTGACAAGAGATGTTTTTTCCATACAAGGTTGGAGACATTGGCCATGGTGGGTGAGCTCAGCAGCAGTCTTCTATTTGTTTTGTTCACTGTCTAAGACTCATTGGATCGATTACCTTTTTTGAACAAAAAGGGTAGGGTGTTTTCTTCAAAGCTTTTCAAATGGAATGCCAGGAATCACTTACACATATTTTTCAGGTGGAATATTTGATTTACCCACATAAATGGTAAGTGCCTCGACTGTGTGAGTCAATATTTCAATTTCACCATTCAAGTGAAGGTCACCTTGCATTGAGCTACACCTATCCATTACTATTATCCATTATAAATTAAATAGCTTGAAAATGATAATTATATATCTTTCAACTAGAGTAACAGAGAATGTCAGTCACTTACATGACTGTCCCTTGATGCTCAGTTGGGTTTTCTGGTTGCTTCACCTCTGGGTAATAATTCTTGTATCTCAGATGCCACGCTATGCTGGTACAGGCCGTCACTGTTCTGAACTGATGAATAATGTTACGCGGGATGAAGTAGATATCATTATCTCTCAGGCGGATGGTGGAGTATTTCACACCATCTCTTCTCAGCTGGTTAAGTTTGGCATCATCAACCCAGCCAACACACTAAATAAAAGAAATGGAATACTGATAAATCAAAGAGGCCATGCACCGCGCAATCCAAGAACTGGCCAACAAACAATAAATTATGTTGATTTGGCCAGTGAATAAGAAAAACTAAAGAGTTTGAAGCAACGTGGCCAAGCAGAGCCCGGTGGCCCCTGGTGCCTAACTTTTGCTGTTGGGTAACTAGAAAATCTCAGATTTTTCATACAAATCATATGCTGGGCACCCTGGATTTTACAGGGTCAGAGCACTGGGCTCCCTTAAATTTTCCTTAGAGCACAGCCTTGCCAAGTGGTCCACATGTCAGACTTGCAATTTGGCTGTTCTAAGCTCAAAAAACATTGACCATTAGCTAGATGTGTTTAAGTTCATCCCAGTTGAGCTCAAGGCGGCATGGCTATACCAGTAAATAGCCAGCTGACTGGCCTCTTCTCAGTTGGGGTTTTTAAAGTTACCTGTTCCAGAGCTTTTCACCAAGATTAATTTAAAGTTGCCAGGTACATGCAATAAGTACAACTGTAAGGTTGGATAGTTTACAGTAATTCACTTAGTCATGTCTACTACATGTACTACACAATTTGAGTGCATTTGCTTGATGCAGACAGAAAAACTGTTTTGTTACAAGTGCCTTACTTGTTGAGTTGGAGGTTCATGAAGATCCAGCTGTAACTTCTGTACCAGTAAGTTAAAGTTTTCAGCATCAAAGCACACCACATCTTTACAGACTCGGTTACTTGAAGGACTGCAAGTACAGAATAAAGCTCAGCTTGACAGAACATAAATACCTCTTTATAAAAAGAATGAGTTTGAAGGTATTTCTTCAACAACTACTCAATCATACATGTACACTGTACAATCGATCAATCAGTCAACCAAGAGCCAAAAGATGTTAACCAAAGGTTATGATGTTGCTGTGGCCTTCTAAACCTTTCCAAACAAAAAGCAAAAAGTTCTAAAACCTTTAAAAGGCTGTACTCTAAGGAAAATTGAGGAGAGCCCAGTACTCTGAACCTGTGAAGCACAGTCCTGCCTTATCACTGTTACCTTATTGTCCCACGGAATTTGCAGCATGTCAAAAACTTTATCACAAGTCACCCCGCACAGAATTGGCCAATGAAAATGGTAACAAGTCATGAAAAAAAGTGAATGGGTGCCTTTCAAACAACTCAACTCCTACATGAGTTCTTGGCACACCAAAATGGCTGCCATTTCATTGTTTTGGAACACCAATATAGTTGCCATGACGTCAAGTGAAAAAGCTCTATAAACTGACCAATCACAGGGTGTCTACTAATGTAACTAACTGGTGAGAGATACAGTATAAATGTACCAGTACTGACAGTGAAGAAAAACCACATCAATGTAGTCTATAAATAAGGATACAATACTGACTACTGACTGCTTACCTTTCCCCAACATGAACTGCTTTTAAGATTCCCACAGCTGCAGTTGTGTGTCTATCGAAACCATGTCCAACATGATCCGCGTGGCATCGCGTTCTGTCTTCAGCCAGAATTTCCCTGGGTTCTGAGGCCCTGGGAAGGTACTGTAGGTTTTGGAGTTCATTTACAGCAATTCTTGAGAAACAAATAATATTAATTTACAGTACATCATTGCATGCTGGTAATCAAGATAATCACAGGGCTGTCACTAAGATTTCAAGTTTTTAGGTAAATGTAACAGCGTGCAAAGAAAGTAGCGTCCAATAGCCCGGGGCTAGTGGATTTTGCTATCGGGCCAGTGAATTCTGTTATTAACTTGCCCGACGGGCGAGTGGATTTTTTTGAGGAATTCAAATTACAGAAGAACTGTGAAATCAATTTGGTTTTTCACTGTCGCTCATTTTTGCCTTGGTGGCCACTAGCATATTTTCTCACCACCATTATAAAATTTTCATGTTTTTCTTCCAACAAAATGGTCTCAGTTTTGTTTTTTTTATTTCTAGCTCTAGCTTTTTCCCTTTTATGTACGTTAATATAGACATTAAAATTTAGTCAAAAGAAAGACTGGAAAAACTCTTCTTTTATGGCACTGAGTAAAAGAAAAATTTTTACCAGTCGTGAAATGTTGTACATGAAGTTTTGCACGCATAATCAGTTTTTGTTTTGCAAAAAAGATGTTTTCCAAAATGCCATTTGGGCAAGCTGTAGCTAGAATGTATTAGCCCAAGAGTCACTTTAACCAGCCTAAAAAATTTTTTTGATGAGCAGGATTGATTACAGTTCTTCTGTAATATGAATTCCCCAAAAAACTTTACCTGCCCATCGGGCAAGTTGAGAACAGAATTCACTAGCCCAGTAGCAAAATCCACTAGCCCCGTGCTATCGGACACCAGTTCTTTGCACGCTGAATCATCTACGATCAAAGGCAGCACATTCTCCTCAGCTACATGTATTTTTAAGACCTTGAGTGTTGGTCAAGTGGGGTTTGAACCCATGACCTTATGCTCAGCAGATTGGTGCTTATAAATCCAATTAAGGCAACCTGGCGGCAGCTGTCCAGCATCATCTGAATGAGAAAAAACATGACTGCTTTTGGTGTACAGCTAAGAAAAACAACATACAGTATTTTATATGTACAGTACCTTCGCTTCTTGTATGGTGATTTGGACTCTGCTGTAGGAATAACCTGCTCCCCGGGCCGAACCCACAGAATGGGACCATCATTACTTTTATTCCGATCAGTTAAATGGAGTGTAGAAAAACTCCCCCATGGCATTGTTTCTTTTAAAAATAAACATTGTTCAAGCAAGTCAAGAAATTCTGGGAAGAATCCCCCACTTTCTTCCTGGACAGTCCCGACTAAGCTAAACTGCAATAAAGGCCCAGCTCGGTATGTTCCATGTGAATATGAAGACTGAACTCTTTGTAAAAATTCATCCATTTTGATAGTCTCAAGATCGGACTTTTTGTACAAAGATGAAACTTTGACAGTCAGATTTGGGTGGTGCTCTCCAAAGTAGTGTACAAGTTCTGGAAGATAAGCTGCAGCATTGTGGATAATGCCCATTACATTTTTTGCAACACCTTCACTCTTTTCAGCAAAGACTTCACGGAAAAAAAGTTTCACAAACTTTTGCATTTTCTCTTCCCTTAATCCTGCAATTTCATCCAAATAAACATGGAGAACAGATGCGCCTCCATTGGAATCAACTTCTTTGTGAATAAGGTGAGATAAACGAGTCTTTTCCTTTGGATTCTGTCTTATACTATAATCCTGGTCATTGAATTTTTTCTCTTCTTCATGGTTATGATGATGGTGATGATGATCTTTATGTTTCTTTTTTTTCTTTTTCACATCAGCTCCTCCATTAAGGTTAGTACCATTGCTCTCATGGTTGGTATCAACTGTTAAAAACAATCCGACAATAAAATTAATTATGGTAAGGAGAAACAATGTACAGTCAGGGTTGTCATTAAGAGCCGGGGGCCGGGGATTTTCCCCGGCTACTAAGAGAGTGGCCCTCAGCTACTTTTATTGGAAAATGGAAGAAAAATAGAACCAAAAGAAACCCCTAGCCGTTTGATTCCCCACCTACTTGTTGTATTTACCCGGCAACTTGAAATCTTAGTGACAACCCTGACAGTGATTAAACTCAGCCATTCCCCTTTCTAGATAAACCAGCAGTACTGTTCCTGCAACCTTCTCTTGCTAGTGTACACCACAGTTCAGCAGTCACTTTCTTACAGTGACATCTTATGTAAAACTTTTACAAAATTAAATTGTGACCAACTACAGTTAAGAGATGTGAGATCGTATGGTTTAATACAGTACGGCTCAAAAGTAAGTTACCATTCTCTTGCAAGATGAGAGTCTTGTCTTGAGAGATGGCACTCTTGTGTTGTGAAAAGGTTTAAAAAACTGTGAGTATCAAGCATCTTTGCGATGTTTACGGCAAAATCACTTCTATGGACAGCTCTTCCAATCATGAGGCCTTACAATAGACCTCGGATTCCTCAAGTATTAAAGAACGCTGCCGTCACACGTGTATGGTTTTGTATAAAACTTTTCACGGCAAAGACTGCATAAAAACTTGACTGAACCCACTCTGGAAACTGCAAAATTGCTCTATTGTGAATAGTATGTTCCACTATAAAACAAATCATTATTACATGTACATGTTAATCTGTCAGGAAGATTTTATCAGTGACATTTAGTTTTTGGTACTTTGTTTTTGGACATATTTTCATCAGTCTGGTTTCCTGGAGTTGAGTCACTGAAAAATTTTATTGTACACTGCATACACTCTTCTAACCACATGAACTTTCCTTGGTCTGTCATGTTCACAAAATTTCAACCAGACACCTAAACTTGATTAAATGCTGTTTTCGTTGACAGTCTGATAAGCTAAACCCTCCGGCATTATTTCATTTACATTGCATATCATGTTATGAGGGATATCTGTCTTTTGTTAAACCTGTAATGAGTGACTTCCTGGAACAACAGTCTTATGCATGTCACTGAAAAAACATGTCACATGTGCTGATATTTAAACGTAGTTATCATAATATGTTGTATTTACCTGAGTTTCTCTTGATTTTCAGTTTTAAATCATTGTGGGAAATTATCTCTGGAGCAGATGGAGCATATTCAGACTTTCCTGTGAAGAAACAAGTGTGTTTGTTTTTATTGTTGTTAAGTTCAAACTTTGTTTTGTTGTTGATCAACAACACAGCAATACCAGCAATACCAGCAATACATGTACATGTACACCTGTAATGATCACAGATCACATTCAAAAATCTTGACAAAGCAGCTTTTGAGAGCTTTCTCTTTTGTAGATTGTAAGCAGTTTGTGCTTACTTAGAAGCCGCACCACAGCAGAAAGTCACTGATCAAATTTTGAAAATCTATTAGAATCAATAGCTGGTTTTCATGTGACATTATCAAAATTCAAACTAAAGAATAATCACCTGTTCAGTGTTTTTAATTTCTTGAAGCACGAGAGCAACCGAATATATTATATGTACTTATATTATGTTAACATCATCAACAACAACAATAACATAAACAATAATAATAGTTAATTAAATATTTTGGGGCTCGATTTCCGTCATCAGCTTTGTTCATTCACCTAAATCCATACCACCAAACAAAGTCTTTCAGCCGCTCCACAGGGATTGGAAAGGCAAAAGGGACAACTCGGCCAATGGCCCCTGACTTTGAAAAGTTATGGGCCATTGAAGTTGCGGGGTGCGCCAGATAAAAAGGAATGTGGGAATGATACGTGCAACTCGTGGTAGTGTGTGCAGTATTTTGTGTATTTTAATATGCTTTAAATACAGAGTATTAAATTTTTGCAGTTTTTAATACTTAATAACATTTTGCAACTAGGGTTTAAGGTTTTTTTGCCATGTTTGAGGCAAATCTTACAAAATATGGCATCTCTTTCAAACATGCCAGAGTCATCGGCAAGCTTTACTCCTATTTATACAATACTATTACTTGTATAAACTTAGTGTCGCTGAAACAAATTTAATAGATCATGTAGGCAAATTGACCTCAGTGTAGGCAAATTGACGTGCAGGTGAAACGACCTGTAATCCTTACCATGACATGTAAGACAGTTATAACACCTACAAACTGCAATGACTTTAATAAACCCTTCATTAATAAATCATTCCAGAATGTGTATGTTTAGTAAAGTCAGGATTGTACAAAACAGCATAAAACTGCCACTGTATCAAGACAACAGCTTTCTTTTCTCTTTAATGACATTACATGAATCTAAACTGAGAGACACGTTTCGATTGTCAAGGCAGCTACATGTATTTACCTTTTGAGCAAAAACTCATGATGGAACAACTGATGAGGTGTTCGTTAGTAAACACGTGCAACCGACTTTTCATTTTACTATATTATGCCTTAGGCTACAAACAAAAGGGTAGATACGTGAAGACTTATTGATCGCTAGAGCGGTAAATACGAAGTGTTTGATCGACTTAAATAACCGTTTGGTATACATAACCTCGCCAACCCTATTACTTACATGTACGATCGAAACTTTCAAGAGCGAGTAGTCACCATGAAAGTTGACTTCAATCCCGATTTAAATAACGTTGTGGTATACATAACATCGCAATCGTATCGTTGTTACTCCACTCAATATTTGCAGTTTATGGGCTAAATAAACGTTCAACGAGTGCTTTCATTTACAGTTTTGAACATCCACATAATTCTGAACTTAACACAATTTCGACCAAGCTTTATCGCCGGTCGGAAGGGCAAACAGTTTTGCTGACGACCTGAAAAGCTGGAATTCTGCAGCAAAACTGGGACGTTGATTTTCTTGGAATTTATCTTGTCAGAGCTAAACACACATTAAAAGGCACGTTTACCTTCTTTCTTAATCTTTTTTAACGTTGTTTTTAGGCTGTTGGGTGTCTTGGTTGGCGATGGTGAGCGAGATGGAGACGAATCCGACGTTATGTTCCAACTTTCCTCAGTGGAGCTCAAACGTCGAACTTTACTAAGATGACTTTCGAGAATTAGCGGCGGTTTTGATTCTTCTTTGAAACTAATCTTTCTTTTCTTTTTGACATGCTCATCTTTTGACAATACGAGACTCGCTGCCTTCTTCAGCAAGGGCGATTTACTGGGAATTGTCTCGCGACCGTTGAGGGAGACTTCCTCGGTCGCCATTTTGGAATTTATATTAGGGTAAACAGTGACGTCATGCGTGCTAGACCCCACTGACCCCCACGGTTTTTCGCGCGTTTTTTTAAAATAGGGACTTTAAGACCTTGTTTACATGGAGTGGGGGACCCCGGTTTAGTAGGGTACCGGGTTTCTTTTGTTTTGTGTCCCCAGGAGCGTGAAAACAAAAGAAACCAACCCCACTAGACCGGGGTCCCTCACTCCATGTAAACAGGCCCTAAGATCCAACGACGCGTACGGCAACGAGAATAATAAGCAAAACAACAACTTTGCACGTGCATCACGCTTTTTTAGCTTTTATTGTACATTTCTTTGCCCGCTTTGCACGACTACGACGTGAAAATGCCTAATTTTGTGTTTTATGGAGTACGTAACCAACCAACGACGAAATTTTATTTCTCTTTCTGCACTTGGATATGGTCCCTAGGCATTCAACTCCAGGAGGGTTCGCCTACATTTGACAAAGTGAGTGGGTAGGACTTAAAGAACGCAAATTCCTTTTTTAAGCGACGCTCTCGTTGCCGTCGCGTCCTTGGATCTTAAAGTCCTTTATAATACCTTTTTTTAGGCACACACGCGCAGGAGCCGATTAATCGTCGACTAAGGAAATAAATAATATTTTCAGTTCATCTTGGTCATTTAATAAGCTATCCTTTAACTATTAAGAACTTTAAGTAAACAGAATAGCATTTACTCAATGTACCGTAAAATTCCGAAAATAAGCCCTGGGGCTTATATTTTTCAAAGGCCCTTATTGAGGGGCTTATTTTTGGAGGGGCTTATATTCGGAGGGGCTTATCTACGGAGAGTTTTTTGCGTTACGAGTTTAGGGGGCTTATATTTGGAGGGGCTTATACGCGGAGGGGCTTATTTTCGGAATTTTACGGTAGTTTTGCTCGAATTTTGGTGTGGTCTTGCGGGAATTTTTAAGTTGCGGTATTGTGGTCTTACAAAACCAAGCGGGTATATTTAGAAAGTTTCGGGTACAATAATTTCAATTCGGTTTGAGGTTTTCTTATGTTATTCCGTGCGGTGTTTATACTTAATTCTGTGCGGTTTTGCGGTATAGTCGTACCCCTTTACGCCCCCCTCCGTGGGAGTAGACTGGGACCGGGTAGGCCGTGTTCCCACAATTCCTGCAGTACTTCATATTTCTTTGGGGAAACCAGTCACGGACCTCATTATATTTTAAAGGAATGGACCTATCACAGTCAATTCTGAGTTGAGTAGTAAGACCTGCTAACGTTGTGCCCTCTCCCTTTAAAATTTGTTCCTATTGGTCTCTTTACCCGCATTAGGCTTTAACAGTCTAACTAAACATTTTTAGACTCCGTTTACGGGTGTGGACAAATTTTTGAACGGACATCGACAAAGACTTGCACGGATCCACCTTTCGTTTAGACGTAACGGAACCTGCACTGAGCCCGCGGGACCGTGCAAGTTTTTGAACGGCAAACAGCACCGAAATATGTAACTAAAAGATTTTGCACGGTTCTGCGGTTGCACAGGTAAAAAATTCGAGGTCTTAGGCTGCGTGCAAACGGACGCAACAACTCCCAACATCGTTGCACTATTGGGAGTTGTTGCGTGCGTGTTGGCAGTTGTCTGCAAACGGATGCAACAACTCCCAACAATGTTTGGGACCTGCAGTGCGTCATGGGTAGGATACAACTCATAAGTCTTTGTAAACCATGCGTAATGAGCGTGCCTGGCCCCATTAATGTTGGAAGAGCTGTGCAAACGGATCCAACAGCTGATCCCACATTGTTGCGCTACTCTTCGGCGATCATGGAACAAAAAAAAAGGTTGGGAGTTGTTGGCTGAAAAGTTTGACCGGTTTCCAACTTTGCGCAACAGCACGCAACAATATCCAACAACATGAAACAGGATGTGCAAACGGACGCAACATGTAACATTGAACAATGTTGGGAGTTGTTGGTCAACAATATGGCGTCCGTTAGCAGGCAGCCTTAAGCCCCGTCCAAACGGACGCAACTTTGTTGGCAACAACTCCCAACATTGTTGGATGTTACATGATGCGTCCGTTTGCACACCCTGTTGCATGTTGTTGGATGTTGTTGCGCAAAGTTTGAAACCGGTCAAACTTTTCAGCCAACAACTCCCAACATTTCTTTTGTTCCGTACGTACGGACTATTCCCTGATGAAGGTTAGTTTTTTAAAAAACTAAAAGTTTTGCCTAACGGAAATCTAATAGTAGGGCAAATGTCATCAAGATCACTAGGGTGCTGTGAGGATTTGAATATGTCATGGAAACGAGGCGAAGACCATGAGAAAATAAACATGGCGCCACCGTAGTGTATTCCACACTCTCATATCCAAATTGACTGACACATACTTTGACTCATAATCTGGCTCCTTGATTCGTAAAGGTAGAAATGAATTATTTCTGATCAGAAAAGGTAAACTATGACAACATGGAAGCCTGGAAGGCAACAACCGATGCAAAATATGGAGTTGGTAAGTCTTCGATTTATCGATCGATTGATCTGATCAATCGCTTTCAATTTAATTGATGGTTTCATTCAGTATTATTAATATTAAGCTCTTGTTTGTATCTTGTAGTTGTGTATAACTTTGACGGCAATGTGACTCACGGCTTACGCTTAACGATCGGGGAAACTGTTCACATTTTCGAGGAGTGTTCCGGTGAGAGCTGGCTGTAAAATACGACTCTTACGACTCTTACATGGTGTAATCGGCACAAATATTTCCCTTGTCAATTTCCCTTATTGATTCTAAAAGTTGGATTATTTAGTGAATGATTTCCGGCTAGTTGTCTGAGACTATCCGTTTTAAATGGCTGAAGCTATGCTTACAAGCTTCGGTTTAATTCTGAATAGGTTTTTGGTTCGTTTTTGACCAACGCTTGAACCGTTGAAATGAAAGCTTAAGCTTATTCTAACAGTTTAATTGATTCAGCTTGTACACGTTTATTATTGTTAATGCATTTTTCGATTTTTATCATGAAGCTTACTTAAGTTATGGTTAGACATAAAAAGGGGCGAATGCATAACTTTTTTTTTGACGATAATCTAGATCATTAACGCTGTGATTTGTTTTGCTGTTGACGGATTAGGTTGGTACCGAGGATGCACTTTGCGGAACAAGTCCGTGAAGGTGAGCGTGAGCGTCACATTTCACGGGAACTTGTAAATTACATTGTAAATAATTAATAGATCTATAGTTATTCTTTTATAACACCTGAAAATTCTGGCCATTTCTACTGGTGTTTGTTTGTTGTTATTAATTTGCACAACATTTGTATCCCAAATGATACTTCAAACAAATTCTACTATTCCACTTGATCACAATGACATTTTGCCAAACTTAGCAGGGTCAGCACTCATGAAATTGCTTTTCTTTGCCAATTTGCATTGGGTGCTGGCAATTGGTATGACTAAAACGGGTTGTCTAACATCAATATTGTCTTATAAAGTTAGTCCATAATTTAATTTTGTTCTGTCTTTCTTTTATTTTTTTTCATTTTATCTTATTGATCCTTTTTTTTTTTTCGGTTTTTAAGGGGCAAGAGCATAAGATATAAGCTTACACTGGATATTGAATAACATCTTATTATTGTTATCTTTCCTTCTGTAAACACATTTAACCTTTAGTTCCAAAGGAAAATTTCAAAAAAAAAATTCGATGTTCCATGTTGAAAAAATACTACAAAACAAAAAGCTAGTCAAAATACCTATCAAAAAAAGAACCATTCATGTTATACATGTATGATTTGGTCTAAATAAAAACCTGGCTTATTTACAGCTTCTGGGTTTAATACTGTTCTCCTCAATATCATCTGCTCCCATAATTTTGGCATTTTATATTTTTACAGAGAGAAATGTTTTGTTGCCTATGCCATGTTTGTATGTTCATTATGATTCATGAATCGCACATATTGTATTTGTTGCGTTTCAATGCTTGCCTCAGTCTTTTCATTTTGTTTCTGGATCCGAAAAAAAAATGATAAAAAGAAAGATGGAAAAATTGAACCAATAATTTAAGTGACCTCAATATGCTTTATGCACAACAGCTGGGGCAAACTTAAGTTGTTTCCAATCCTACCTTTAGGCTGGCTGTGGAAAACCTCTATTAGGCATCCACCAGGCTTTAGGGAAAAATAAGTGGTAGCTCAACAGTAGGTTACCCTGTAGTATATAATGATTCACCATCAGTTCTTGTGTGCTAGGACTGTGGTAACTGTCTACTAAATCAGTGTCCTCCTTATTAGGCGGTAACCGGTAAAATTTACCGCCTGAGGCAACACTTCTTACCGCCTGCAATCGCTGAAGGTTTGCTAAAAATAAATATTGTAAGTTTAAAGAAATACGCAAGTTGTGATACGATCCGATCAAGGAAATGAATGAATATGTGGAAAAGTACTTAAGTATACACAGCTTTTCTCTTTATGGACCGAAAAAAATATTGGAATCAACCATTTTTCAATTGTTTTTTAAAGATAAAAGCGGCCGATTTGCGTAAAATAGGTCTTCAAATGAGGGAATGACATTTCAGAGAACTTAGCACCTAAATTTCCCTGCGAGGGCAGAGTCATGTCCCTCACTTCACTACCCCCCCCTGCCTCCCATTTCCCCTAGGAAAGTTTGCCTCTGGGGCATTTTTTGCCTTACCGGCCATGAATGGTCCCTCACCTGCTGAGCTAAAATTTAAGGAGAACACTGCTAAATACAGGGTGGCAGCTTATATTAACAGAGATTTGACTGAAAATGAAGAAATGATCGTCGCAGTTTAGGCAATTGTGTAGAGAAGCCTGAAAAAAAAATTCAGGACTTCAATGGGGTTTGAACCCGTGACCTCGCGATTACTGTTTTACAGTCATTATTTTTTATTTTATTTTTTTATTATTTTGCCACACACAATGAATTACAAGCAGTATTAAAATGATAATAAATAGGTTAATTAACATTAAATTTAAAATTTGTACATTACTTGGAGGAGTGACTGTGGAGGGGAAGTCTCCGAGAAGCAAAGGTTATGAGGAATAGAGATCTCCCCCCACGGGCAAATTGAATACTAGGCAGCATTTTAAGAAATAAAGAAAAAAAGTCGTTTATTTAAGTATATAAATGTGTTTAGAGGAAAATATAGATATTAGGTGTTAAGGTATTTAGGTTGCATTCTGTCTGACCTGAACTTGGGCTACTGTGAACTCTAAACTCAATTTAACACTTTGCACATCTTTCAACAAGTTGTCAATCCTAGTGTTGATAGAATTCATGTAGGCACTAAGAAACACTTTTTAAAGTTGACTCTTGCTGCTTAAGCAACTCTTTCACTAGTTTAAGGGGCAGTTGTACATCGTCTTCCTCAAGACTACCACGTTTTGATTCAGAGGACGTCTTTGAGCATGTTGCCGCCATGATTATGCCATGATTTTAAATGAACGATGATCATCGCAGTTATATACGCAACTTTTGCAGTTGCGAAAAGAAAGCCTGAAAAAAATTCAGGCTTGTACGGGATTCGAACCTTTAACCTCTGCGATACCGGTGCAGTGCTCTTTAATTCTTCACTCCACAGTTCACATATGTGATTTTCTTGTATTCCAAACTTCAGTCATTATTTTGTTTGTACACGTACATGATTAAAGATAAATTTGTTCCTTTGGACATCTTTAGGGTATCTTTCCAACAACTTATGTTCATATCAAGCAGTGTACGGTGGAAAATGCAGGGTAGGTACAATTTATACATCTAGTAAAATTATTAAACTTACCACATTTCAATGAACTATATTTTAATGAAATGCAGTCAAACATCCCATAAATGACCACCCAAAATGCGAAGATTTAGTGGTTGCATATGGAAGGTGGTTGCTAAGAGAATCAAACCATAGGGAGTCTTTTCTGAGAAGAGGTCCTGATACATCTACCTTGCAGGAGAGAATTCATCACCTGCAATTTTCGAAGATACGTAATTATTATGCATGTAGTTCCATGTTGTCCGTGAAGGTTCTTTGTGTAGTTGGAGTGGTGTAGTTCATTAAGCAAATAAAGAGACCTCACCAAGGGTCAAGTGAGTCCCTTACAAGAGGTCACAGTCAAGGCTGGTCAGTGGTCGTTAATGGAATCTTGGGGGGTACGCTTGACCTTGCTTGACTGTAAAAACAATGGAAAACTGTAAAACTGTCAGGCTCAGAAGTGGTTGTGGTCGCTTACACATACATGTGTATGAGAGGTGCTCATTTACAAGAGTTGGTCACACATGGAGGCTCGTTTGTACGGTGGAGTCTTGATATAATGAACCTGTACATGACGATGGCCTCAGTATAACCAATGATTTTTTTTACCCCATTAATAGTAAAATATGTGAAAAACAACCTCGACATAACAAAACCTTGGTATTGCGAACAAATTTTGCCAGTCCCTTGGCCCTTCATTATATTGAGGTTCCACTGTAGTTCCAAATCAATTGTTTTTAATGACTTAAATAATTAAAGAGGTGTCGTTTGAGTGAGTGAGTCTTTATGTATGCTACAAAACCTGTGAAATCAAAATCACTCAAAAGTAGACTTTCAACAGTAACAGTAACAATAAACTATTGATTCAAACATCCCTGGCACCTCATGCATGTTCATGTAGTGGGATCTTGTACAATGTAAAATACATCCACCTTTGGGCCGTGATATGATAATCCTGGTCTTAGTTGCTATTGGTTGGAGGTGGTTATTAAAGGTAACTGCAAAGATGAGTGTGGGGGAAGGTGCTCTACACAAACCACAAGAGGCAAAGTGAACACAGCAACATGTAATAGACCTATTTGGCTAACTCAATGTTGTAACCAATTCAAATCTCCCAGGGTTTAGATTCTTTGTGTATTGTATTTGCATTATGATGTGGCATTCACATTTACATGATATGGAAATTCCTTGAATAAAATGTTTTAGGTTTGAGTTGGGTACAACATTGAGTTAGCCGGCTAATAGGTCTATAGCCAGATTTCAGCTGAAAAGCTGTAAGAACCCAAGGCCCTTGCGAAGCCATAAGTGCAACCCCAAAAATTACATGTACATGGAGCTTTGTCTGTGGTAATTTCAGAACACCAATGGAAAGTGTTGTATCAAAAGAAGATGCTACCGTCAAGGAACTGACATTGATTCTGAGAGAATGGCTTGTCAACTGGAAGCAACTCTACAAGGTAGTGTGTTGTTATCACTCCTTATATACATGGTAACTCTAGTGCTATGGATATAGCTGGTGTTTTGTAGCCCTGGGAGGGTACTTCCTAGTGATGGGTTACTGGATGGGGTCGCATTTTAATGACTGGATTGTTTCTAATGGGGTTACATTTTTTGAAAGAGGTGCTAGAATGAGGTTTTACACATTTTTGGGATTTTAGGGTGGAGAACAATAAAAACCTCTAGAAATTTGCAAAACACATGTGAATTCGTAAAGTAAAGTACATTTGCCCAAAAAAAGTGATTAAGATGGGGTCTATAATAATTGGCCTCTAAGTAGACTATAATGGGGTGGGGGTCTGAGAGGCCAGTGGCACATACCCAGCAAAAATGGGCCAAAGTAGCCCTGCGAGGTTTATAGAGGGCATGCACAGGAAAAAATAACAGATTCCCATTATTAGATATTTTAGGGTATTTAAAGAATACTCTGGCATAAAAATCCCAGATTTGGCAAAGTGAGACAAGTCCCAACCAGGAATTCCCAACCAAGTTCCCTGGTTGGGACTTGTCTCACTCTTCCGAATTTGGGATTTTTGTGGGTATTCTGTGATGTCACCGAAAAAGTGATAAATTTTGAGTTAACAAAAAATATTTAGTGTATTATTGTCTTTAGGTGAGTGACATTGGACTGCAATACCTCAGGGTGTACAGTAGACATCAAAAATCGGAGAATTCTCCGTTAACTACGCAAAATTCTCTAGCAAATTTTCAATAGCCTATGACTATTTTTTATTCAGACAAGGAGCCACTTCAAAATATTCTCCGGTAACGTTATACCTTCCCTTGCCACTACTGACTGTAGAATTCTTAGTGAAAACTTTGATTACCTAATTACTTTTGTTTTGGCTTACACAGAAACACGAGGTACATCTCTTTCAAGCACTAAGACAGATAATGGAGGAACTGGTGAAATTTCGACAGGATCTTTTATCAGGCACACTGACTCAAGTATGCATTACATGTAAAATAAATTTTAAGACAATTGTGCACATATATGTTGCAAATGAATTTGTGCTCTATCGTGGTTTATTAGTAATTCCAATAAATTCCAATTTGGCTTTTTACTTTATTTTTCATTTTTCCTTTTAGAATTTTTTCATAATGTTGTTCCACTTAGTATTAACAAGAAACTCTCTCGCATTCATTACTCCTTTATAGGACCAAATGGATGAAATAAAGAAGCGAGCCATCAGAAAGATTGACTGGGGCAACAGGTGGGTGATTTATAACCGTTGAACATGTTTATACTTAATAATGAAGGGCTCCATACAAAAATAATGTCTCTTCCCCAAAGGAGAAAAAGGGCGGGGGGGTAGGGCCAGGGGTGCTTTTGCATGGATCCCTTCTTTTGGGTTCAACGCAAGAGTGTATTCTTGTATGGCAAGGAAAAAATGGCAAGAATGGAACACAAACAGGATATTGTCAATGCATAAGTTTGCTGTACAGCAAAAAACCAATTATTATAAGCAATAGAGAACGTTTTCCTCGTTTGTATAGACTGCACAGTGTAGACGTTTACCTATGGAGAGGGGTGAAAGGGTTTGCGGTGATGCAGTTTTGCTTGATTTTGGTGCGGTTTTGCAGAAATTTTTATTTTATTTTGTGGTATTGCAGTTTTACAAGACCAAGCGGTTTGCTGTATTTGGGAATTTTGGGGTAATTTCAGTGCCGTGTTATTCTGTGTGGTGTTTATACCTAACTCTGTTGGTTTTGCAGTATTCATACCCCCCTTGTGCCCCCCTCTCTATGGCTCAAGATAATAACCAGGGCTGTCATTTAAATTCCACGTTACAGTCTACATGCAATAAGTAGGCGGGAAATTGAACAGCGCTTCAAATGTTTATTTTCTTTTGTTTTGTATGAAAGTAGGCGGGGATCATATGTGCTGAGGAAAATCCCCCTCCCCCATCCGTTAATAGAGCCAGCCCTGTGTAAATTACATGCGCATATTTTGTAAGCCGTAATGTAGGCAGAACTGTAGTTGATATTCCCCCTGCCCAGTTATACACTCAGATTGCTGTTCAGTACTCCTAATTTGCTGGGAAACTTATAATCCAGATCATTGTTTACTGATTATTAGTGTTGTTGTTTTTGTCATTTTTGTAGCAAAATGGGCCTTGACCTTATCCCTCGTGTGGATGGAGAAGTTGTTGATGCTGACTCCACTAGTGTTGTAGAACTCTACAAAGTGGTAAGCCTTTACAGGTCCTTAAAATTAAGAAGTATAATATTATATTACTGTACAACAAGGAACTTGTGCCAGCTCTTTTGTCTGCCCATGGTCCTTTATCTAAACCAGGGAGCTTCTTAATAAGCAGCGATGTTGTTGACAGTAATGGGGGCAGCGTGCAAAGAAAATAGTGTCCGATAGCCCGGGGCTAGTGGATTTTGGTATCGGGCTAGTGAATTCTGTTATTAGCTTGCCTGACGGGCAAGAGAAGTTTTTTGAGGAATTCAAATTACAGAAGAACTGTGAAATTAATCTGCTTATCAAAGCGTTTTTGGGGCTACTTAAAATGATGTTTGGGCTAGTAAATGTTAGCTTCGGCAAGCTGTAAAAATGACTTACTTTGCACCCTGAACGAGGGTATCATCCTTTTCAAGAGCATGGCATGACATTATCAAGTGCAACTTTATTTTGAGCTGTGAAAACTGTTAAACTACTGTATAATACTACATATGTAGCTTTTGTCTTGATTGTAATTTGTCTGGATGTGATTCCCTAAGATTAAAAAGGTAGAATTGCCTTGTAAAAACAATGAATGGCATTCCAGGGGAGTACATGACAGCTGTAGTTGGTAGCTCAGAATTTAAAGAGATGAAATGAGCATGTTAAAATTGGAACCCAGTTCTGTTGTGCTTACTGATACCATTTTAGGTTCCTTGCATAATGGGAGGAGTTTTAAATTTTTCTATCAATAGTGGAAGGTTTGTGAACAAATAAGGAGCTTACTAATGAATAAAATTTTCTATCAACATAATCGATATTTTATCTTGATTCTTGTCTCATTGTAGCATGTGTCAAGTGCTGAAGCTAACCTCCAAGCATCAGTAAGTTTATTCTGTATTACCACTCAAAACTATTGTGTATTTGGCTACGTTTAACTGCAGTTGAGGCTTCACTTTAATTAAGCAGTTGAGTACCCAGTTTAGAGAGATACCCGTAAAACCAATGGCATGTACATGTAGTTTCCTCAGGCCTAGGCCAAACGTCGGATTTTTTCATGAGACGAACAAACTAAATTAGAGTTTGGTTCCGTTCGTCTCATGAAAAGTTCGACGTTTGGCCTAGGCCTCAGAAAACCTCGGACGTCCAATAAAAGAAATTTGGTTGCACGAAAGATGGTTAACCTCAGGGGGTGGGTGTGGGGGCTAGCAGCGAGGTCTATGATCGACTTAAATAATTTTCTCGACGGGTATATATAACTGGAACTATATACGGCTGTATATATTATAGTCTAGAGAAAAGTTAACTCTTTGATGGATTAAAAATTCAAACAATGGTTTAGAGCCAACCAACCCTATTCCCAGCGTCTTTTTGGCCGCTCTACTTGATAATGATGATCCGAGAGCATGAAGACCATGAGTAGTTTTAGAGACTTTTGTTTATGATTTTGTATGGTTTGAACAGCTTTCGAATCATTCATAAAATCGTCCCACACCTTGGCTTACCTCTTATTAAACTTGTGTCCAACCAGCAGAATTTTTTTTGTCAGGCAAGAGGTAACTTCAAGAAGAAGCCATCACGTGTGATGACTGTCATGCACCATGCCTTCCTTAACGTGAACAGCTTTGTCTGTAACGTTGACGAGAGGTGCCAGGTGTTTTTTTCCATTTATGACGCCAGAGAAGGACGCTTTATCAGGTGCGTGAGAATATCTCTTGTCTTGTTGTTTGCAGGAGATGTTAAAGCAGATTAGAGAGCTTAGAAAACCACGATGAAGACGGCTGCGAAAGCTTCTCTTAAGGTGATGTTATACGGGACGATTCGCAACGACGATTTTTAGCACAACAGAGTGTTATAATGTTGGAACAATGTTGCAACCATTGGAAACAATGTCGCAACAATGTTTTGCAACGCTGTGTTGTGCTAAAAATTGTCGTTGCGAATCGTCTCGTGCAACATCATCTTAATAAAGGAAGTTACGTTCCTTAAAGTCCTATCACGATTATTTAGTCGCGATTAATTTGTCCTATTATTCATTCAAAATATTTCCCCAATTGTGATTGGCTAAAAGCACACGTTTAATTCACCATAACCAGTTAGTGATGACCAAATTTGGAAGAATTTTGTGTTTGACGAGGAAATGACGTCAAAAATGTAGCCTTTTACAGGTTAATGAACCGTTAACCGAGAAGACCTGGGTACGAGGTTGAGTTGTTTTGGTTGTGAAAACAAAAATGGCCGACACTTCACTCGTTTCAAGAGTAAGAACTACAGCTGGAACTAGGCGAAGTAATAGTTAAAAACATAGCAAAACAGCAAGAAGACAACTTGGAGGGCGACATGTGCTATTTGGAGAATATTTGCAGAGCTGGACAAACGTAAACGTACACTATCGAAGATGAACTGAACGTCGATGAATCGATTGGGGTAAGCATGTTTTAGCTATGTTTTTAAACTAGGAATTATTTTGAATGAATAATAAAACAATTATTGAATTCGGCTTTCATATCATATGAAGAATTATGGAGATCTCGGAGGGTGTTATCCGTCGAGGCCGTAGGCCTCCATAATTCTCCATAAGATACTCAGCCTCATTCATTAACTGTTAAATAAGTAAGCGAATTTTGGTGGATGTGTTTCTTTCGGACTCCATCCAAGTTCAAAACGAGACAGGAAAATCTCATCGTCGTGTAAAACATTGCATGAGTAAGTTTCACGTCGTAGTCGTGCAGTGAACGTCAAAGAAATGTACCCAAAAGCGTGAAACAGCACTGCACGTGCTGTTTTGAGCTGTTGTTTTGCCGTTAGAACCAATAGTGTTTTGACGTCATCTCACCTTGCGGACACTCCATTTGTAGCAGCTAAATTCATGATTATTTCGGACTTGACTGAAACATGCTTTGGCTATTACGGACTCTCGGCGCTGTGACGGTCACTAACTCACCATAAGCTTCCTAATAATTCATGCTTGTCTTTTTTCAGTGAAAGATTTCTAGTCTCCATAAGCAAGAGTGATAGCACACAGAGTCTAAACAAGAGCGACAGTTCACAGAGAATCAATCTAGTCCAGAAAATCGACAACTCAGCCTGTGTTTTCACTGTGAGTGTGGTGTAGTTTAAACCGTTTCAAATTCTAGTTTCGCAATCAATACGTGAATATTTTAAGGAAAATGATTGTTTTAAATATTGTATATATGAAAGAAATTTTCTACCAAATATATTCGAAATTCAAAGGTTGTTGTAAGTTGCCTAAATACTGACTTCTGATTGGATAAAATTAAGTGGGAGTAACGCCATACACGCGAGTTACGTCTTTTTCTGCAAAACAAGTTTACTTCGGGCTCAGCTTGCAAAAAGGGCAGCATGCCTGTGTACAGATTTTGTTGCAAAAAATAGAACTAGCTCTCTACTTTTTGCAACAATTTTTCGCATCCTGCAACAACCTGAATTGTTGCAAGACAGGTTTGAATGTTGCTGGTAAAACGCGCAACATCGTAGCCTGTGCCAGGCTCTCAGATAGTATATATAGTGGGGACGTATTAAAACGAGCAGAGCGAAATAAGACGCGCGCGACTTGGGAAAGGGTGCGGTGGCGGCGGGAAAAATGGGCATGGGGGAGCCCTGTCTTTCCCCAGCCCCCGCGCGTTTTTCGCATTTCTTTTTACTGAACTACTTTTCACCACTATCTCGGAGCCTGGAACAGGCTAGCAACATCGCTATTCAAGTCGTTTTGCAGCAATGTTGCAAAACAAGTTACGGTCAAGTAATACGGGCAACATTTTCGCTCACCCTGTAGCGCAACATTGTTACATTGGAAGTTGTAAAGCGTTGTTGCTGGAATTACCACCTTCGCTCTCAACTTGTCACGCAACAAATTTTGATGTTGCAAGTTGTGGCAACATGTTGGGCAAGTAGTCCTGGGTTTTGTTGCCACTGTTTTGTTGCCCGATTCTTCAGTTGTCACTGATGAAGTGTGTTTTTTCAGGATCTTGGCAGTAAGGATATAAATGCTGATGCTTACCTTGTGGCTCACATTGTCAGAATAGGTGGGTCACATAAAATTATCAACTGTGCTCAGATTATTTTGTGAACAAGAGACGAAGAGCTGCTTTGTGATAATACAGAGGAACCTTCATGTAACGAACCTCTATATAACGACACCTCAGTAAACCGAACGATATTTTTCACTCCAGTAATAGTTAAGCTTATGGAAACGACCCTCGTTGTAGCGAACATATGCCAGTTCCTTGTCCCTTCGTTAAAACAACTTGAGAGTGAAGCTGCAAATATACTTTTAGAAAAAAAAATCCTGGTCAATGACTCAACGCATTGATTACATAACGCAGATGTTTGTGCTGACTTGAACGATGCACAGCTGTATGATTCAAAAAAGGGCCAACATCCACCTATTTTGACCTCTGTCTTGGTCAATAAACGCATATAAACATGTGTCACTCAAAGCCGTGGTTCCCTGCAGAGAAAATTTGTTTTAGAAAAAAAAAAAACTACGAGTTTAAAAATCGTATTATCCCGACCCATGATTTTTTATGTCCGTTTTTTACTTCACCTTGTATCCCTACAGGGAGGATGCTTATTGATACTTCATCAAAAAAGGTTTCCTCTTCGTCTTACAGGAGACCATATGGATGTGCTGGTGAGTAAAGTCGTTTTGACACACCGACGACCACGACGGTGCGAAACGTCTCTTAGAAAGTAAATTCACGCTATTTCAAAACGTCGCTCTTGTTCGACGTCGTTCTGTTTGTTAAATGGTGATGATTTTCTTGGAGTCGACTTTCAAAGGACTGTATCTGATTTTTTACAAAGAATTCGAAAACTGTTTTCTCATGTTCACGTCCTTTAGAAAACGTGAAATTAGGCAGTTACGTCGTGGTCGTGCAAGGACGGCAAAGAAGTGTACAAAAAAGTGTGATGCGCATGCAGAGTCGTATTGTCTTTTTCGTTGCCGTGGTCGTCGTCGTCGTCGCTGCGCTCTCTCTCACGTGACCAGCAGCTATGTAAATTGATTGGAACAAAAGAAAGATTTTACATAAGAAAAAGGTTCAACCCCCACAGAACTGGTTTGGAACATGGCCGCCGTTACGTCAGGTGAAAATATCGTAATAGGACAGAAATGGGGACAACAGAGGGATAATTTCCTTTGAATTAACACTTTCAACACGCAAAATTTCGACTGTGGCGAATGAAGAGCTAAATGGCCAAATTTTATTTTAAACGGCCAACCCGGTTTTGGAAATCCATTCATAAAAGTTTTTTGTTATGCATCGCTACAATGGAAATAGATACTCAGGTACTTTGCGGTAAACATGCGCAGTGTTCTCACCAGGATTTTTCCTTGGGGAGTCCCAAGGCCCCCTCTTCTGAGAAATAGGGGCCCTGTAAGAACATTAGGGGGACAAAGTTACAAAAAACACGCGGTACGAAGAACCTGAGCCCGCACTCCAAATTGTCTGTTACATGAAGTACCTACCTGATCCAATATGGCGGAAGAGGTGTTTACGATTCGGAGGAGGAGTTTACGATGTAGTGGGACGTGCGTGGGACCAATTTGATATCATGTTTTTTATTTATTCAAACAAACAGAATGCTTTAGTGTTAGGTTGACCATTAAAACTACTTAAGTCCGTTTGACTCATAGTTTGCCCCTGCGCCCTAACGGGCGCATCTTCTTGGTTTTAATGCGCCATTTCAGTTTTGCTTGCGGGAATCCCGCAAGGCCGCGGCCTGCTGAGAACACTGCATGCGGCCAACATTTACCAGTTGTTCCCTTGTGTATTACATTGTAGTATAGATGCACTGGTACCACTTTACTTTTTTTACATTAATTCAGATTTCGTGGTGTTTTTGATTTATAGGTAGTTTACGCTCAGGAAAAGTAATGACATATTTTTGGCTCATTTTCGACGAGAAAGTGAATAATACCAATAGTACGTCGTCAGTACGCTTTCCAATATCTCATTAGTTGATAAAAAAAAAAAACAGTACCAAACTTGAGCAATAGACCTCGTCAGCTTGTGTGTGTTTTTTTTCCAGTACCGGTCCCAGGGGAAATTGACCCTTTGTCTTATCAAAAAATGCGTACATATGCACGTGAATAGGACAAAATTTGAAAGAAACAGTTCTGTAGAGTATTATCACATGACCTTTATTGGGGAAAAAACAATGCAAGCTAAGGTTGCGTCATCCTCGGAGACCCGGGGGCAGATAGTGGGGGAAAGGGAAAGACTAAACGGGCGGAAAAAATGGCGCGAAGAAAAGTAAAAAACGGAAAGAGCTCTTCTCGCCGTTCTTTACTTTTCTTCGCGCCATTTTTTTCCGCCCGTTTAGTCTTTCCCTTGCCCCCACTATCTGCCCCTGGGTCTCCGAGGATGAGGTTGCGTGCAAACGGACGTAACAACTCCCAGCATTGTTGCCCCAACAATGTTGGAAGTTGTTGCGTGCGTGTTGGCAGTGGTGTGCAAACGGATGCAACAACTCCCAAATACGTTCGGACCTGCAGTGCATCGTAGGAAGGATACCCCATAAGTCTTTGTAAACCATGCGTAATGAGCGTGCGTGGCTCCGACAATGTTGGAAGGGCTGTGCAAACGAATCCAACATTGCTGCGCTACGCTTCGGCTATCACGGAACAAAATAAATGTTGGGAGTTGTTGGCTGAAAAGTTTGACTGGTTTCAAACTTTACGCAACAACACGCAACAGGGTGTGCAAACGGACGCAACATGTAACATCCAACAATGTTGGAAGTTGTTGGTCAACAATGTTGCGTCCGTTTGCACGCAGCCGAAAGAGGTGTATTTAGTGGTTAACCATTTTTTTTCTTCCTTCTATTTTTTGCACTGAGTTTAGTTCTGGACATCGTGGATATTTTACTGGGTCGGGAGGAACAGCTGGAAGAGAAAGAGTTTAACATGCCAATCTTCACGTAAGTACAGGATTTCGTTTTCAACCTTCTGATCCCAAATGTATTGTACTTCAAAATATAAAATTCAGTATAGGTTGTCGAGGTTAATTGTGTTTTTTCAATGCACTATTCAATTTGTGTTAAAGCCTACCTAAGGCAAATATAAACATAATCGATGTTTTGCGTAATGAAAAATCGCATACTGACACAATATTCCCTTATATGCCTTGACCACATTTACGCGCCCCAGCGATGAAGTCATAGACTACTCTTTAATTCCTCCATCTCTTGTGCAGCTAAAACCGACGTAGTTAGAAGTAGGAAACTCGTTGATTCTGGTATCGGTATCTAACGCCCTGAATCTGTAACTAAGAAGGTATTCTCTTGATTTTCTGGCAAATCCAGCATCGTCTTCAGGTGCATGGCTGGACTGGGACCACTGTAATTGGCTCACCGCTGTTGTGGCACCCCTGCCTATTAAGCATTTATTAATTATTCATTGTTCAGTAACAGGCGAAGCTAATGAAATAACATAACATAACATAACATAACATAACATAACATAACACAACATAACATAACATAACATAACATAACATAAAACATAACATAACACATAACATAACAAAACATAACATAAAACATAACATAACATAAAACATAACGTAACATAAAACATAACATAAAAGATAACATAACATAAAACATAACATAAAACATAACATAACATAACATAACATAACATAGCATAGCATAACATAGCATAGCATAGCATAGCATAGCTGGTTTGCCTCTGGCCAGTTTGGATTCTTAAGCCTGTTAAATTTGATTTAAATTATTTGTTTCATGCATTTGCCCGTTTTCACTGGCATTAACGCTATAAATACTGCCGAGGGTAAATAATTTATTTATTTTTATATCGTCTTGAATGCTTAGCAAAAAAATCAACATGTCTTGTACTGTGTATAATCTTGCAGATGCGGTGATAGTGATTTCTGGACAGTTCATGACAGCATCATAAAGAAACAAACCAGTAAATACAGTGCTACAAGCTCAAGTGCTGGTGAGTTCAATGTGGCTGTTTTCCATATCGAGAGACTATAAAACAGAATATTGCAGCGAGAGGTGTTAATTAAAATAATCAGCTCTTTGATTTTGCTTTTACATCTACCCGTACTTCGTAGTGTGACGCTCTGAGTAATATATTCTTTCTCTCCTAGGCATTTTTGTTTCCTTGAGAATGTTTCATGGCGACTTAGATAAGGTGAAGCATTTTAATAAATAATGCGCGGAGGGTTTAATATATTTTACAGGCCACTTACCTTCCAAAACAATCCAGTTTTCATCGGTGGATAAATCATGTTTTTCTCACATAAAAGAGGAAAAAACGCAAATTCCGAGAGCCGTTTTAGTTTCTGAACTTTGTGTTCACCTTTTTTGATAGATAACCCACAAATAGTTTATTATATTTCAGGCCACTTGCCTTCCAAAACAATTCTTTATCGGTTGATAAATCATGTTTTCCTCGCAATAACGAAGGAACCCGTAAGCCAAAAGGCATTTTTAGATTCTGAACCTTGTATGCACCTTGTGATTTGATTGCGCTCTTGCCTTTAGCTACCCACCTATCTACCCGTGCACCCACCCTAATAGGGTGACGTTTCGCGTCAGTTTCGAGGTTCCTTGCTAGCAACATTGCTTGCTTAGTCAGTACATTGTACCCCGTAAGAATCATTTTATTGATTTCCATCTTTTTCATATTATTTTTCCTGTTAAGGTTCAACACGAGAATCCTCTTTTGGTACCCAAAGGAATTCCAGTTGTGAGAAAATTAGGCTTTCCCGATGTTATCATGCCAGGTTTGCTAAACAGTTTACGTCATTTCTACCAGTTTATCTTTGTCGATCATTTAAAACCTGTCTACACTAGCACGTTTGACTTGACAAAGAGTGCTTACTTTGTCAGATGATGCACGTGCAGAGTTGTTGTTTTGCTCATTATAGCTCTTGTTGACTTGTTATTGTTTTGACGTTCATTTTGTCATCGCCGTCGTGACGCCTTAATCTTCCTTTTTTCAAATTTTGTCGAGGACTGTCACGAGTAGAATAATAAAAATAAAAATAAAAAAAAAAACGAAACAAAATGGATGTTGGAATGCGAGTCACAAAAACAGTTTCAGTCACGTTGTTTCCCGGTGTTATTCTTGCAGGTGATATCAGGAATGATGTGTACGTTACCTTGGAAAGAGGAGAATTTGAAAAAGGTAATAAAACTGATGGAGAAGCAGCTTTTTTGGGTAGCTGGCATTGGCATCGACTTCAATGTCAACTTAATTTATTGCAATGAAAGTAGAGATGTGTAAGTGTAAATTTTTTGTTGCAAATTTTCCATTCCGTTCTTTAAGGATCAGGAAAAACCACGTCGAGAAATGTTGAAGTGTCCATGTGCGTTGTGGGACCTAAAGGGAAGGTTATTGAGGTAATAAAAATAATGTCCTGTTCGTTAATTTTATTGTTCATGTAACAGAGTGTGGGACAAACTGAATATTCGTAAAAAAAACAACTGAATTCTTACTTCAGGACCTTCAGTGAAAAGAGTACGTACGTGTCTATTTCTACCTGTCAATCTACAGAATATGACATTGGGCTTCTCTTTTTTACCTTTCTCTTTAAGCGTTCAACTTAAAAGGGAATACACGCAAGGTTTTTCGTGTCTAGACCACCTTTCTCACATTGGTGTGGTCCAATTCTCTTTTCCATTTTGACTCTTATTGAGATTACACTATCACATGAAAAGAGGTACTGTCTAGTCATGGTAGTTGCACGTTCTTTTTTCAACAAGGTAGTCAGTGTTCACGTTCTCCCTTTTGGTTTTTACAACGCTCCCTGAAGCGACCAATGTTCACGTTCTCACTTTCACTCAGGTGAGCCTTTTGATTCGCTAAGTTCTAGAACATTGACGTTGAGTGTTCTGCTTTCAGGATTGTGTGTTTCTCGGGGCAGGAGGATACAGTGTGACTGAGTACGAGTCTATTATATTCTACCACAACAGCAATCCGAAGTGGAATGAAACAATAAAGGTACATTCTTAGCAGTCACGCAAATAATGTTAGTTACAGAGAATTCCCACGTCATCTTCTTGGAAACGGTATGAAGTGAACGGCTCCACAGAAAAGTACGCTCAGTTCAGTTTTTAAGGTAGAAGACAGAGCCCGTCTAACAAACCTTAAAGATTTACATTGGTCACGTGTCATGTCATTGCTAAAAATAAGTGTTTGTTAGCCAGTGGAATCGAGCCTTATCCAGTAAGACGTTGTTCTTTTCCACTCACTCAAAGCGCCGTGGCGGTTACCACCCCTAAACACTAACAGTAGCTGAACAACCTTGGCTAGGAGGTTCTGGCAGAAGATCAATCATCTGCCTGAAAAGAAATTCTCCGAGATAACTCTCTGTTTTGTGGCAAACAACTAACGCTGGTCCCGAGGGTGGGTGAATTGTCGAGGAAATGGAATCCTTGTAGTCTTAATCGCTTGCTGGCTGTGTGGTGTGTATGAGGCTTGTCCTTGAATATTAAGGTAAATCATGATTAAAATATGTTGCTTTCCCCTACAGGTGCAGCTCCCGTTTGACAAGTTCCTTGGTGCCCATTTGAAGTTTGGCTTTCGACATTTGGCAAAATTTGAAGGTAAATCGTTGTTACAGAATAACTGCAGAAGTTAGTAACGATTTCGCCTGAATTACCTATGAGGCAACTTTAAAAACAGTGCTCCTAGGTTTGAGTAAATTTTGACGTCTATGTACTGCAGGTAGCTGGTCGTTGAGTCTTGGTATATTCGTAATTTTTTGGTACTAACAGTAATCGTACATAGTGGAGTCCCGGATGGCAGTAACTCCGCTGTCCTGGAGGGTGGAAAAATACATTGTCTCCTTCACAGTCGCTCGGGCCGGAGTCACGCTCAGAGGCGGGAAGCTGACGTGACTCCGGCCCGAGCGACTAGAAAGTACAAGAAATATTAGCTCATCGCATTCAGCTCAAGCCCATTTATTTCATTTAGGGATAATACTTTTTTCGTGCTTTTCTGTTTTAGAAAAGGACAAAGGTGACAAGACATTTGGTTTTTCCTTTGTGAGTCTCATGCGAGCCGACGGAACAACAATCCCAGACGGAGGTCACGAGCTGTGTGTATACAAGGTGGGTTATTTAAAGCGTTTGTAATCATGTTTTTGTTGTGGTTGTTGTTTATTTCTCTGCCAGGAAGCTTTAACCTGTCATGTCCATGCGTCAAAAGTGGTCTTATTTCCCAGAATTGAGGTACTCCACCCGCTTAAGGAAATTTTCCCCGAAAATGTTAATGAGTCGGAGATGATTGGAGCGTAACCTACGAGAAGGTTACGAAAAGGCTTTTAGAGGGACATGGGAGGGGAGGGGAAAAAAAAGAAAAGAGTTGTCTCCTTACCCACACGCCCTTTCCTCCCCCAGGCCCTCAGGCTACATTAGGGACTTTAAGATCCGACGACGCAACGGCAGTGAGAACTTCAAGTAGCAATAGGTTTAATAAGAAAAGCAACAACTTCTTGCATCACGCATTTTTGTACATTTGGATCGACTATAGTCTGAAAATGCCTTATTTAACCTTTTATAGAGGACGTAAATAAGTGACGACGGAATTTTATTTCTCTTTCTGATCTTGGACATGGTTCTTACAAATTCAACCCCTGGGGGGTTGACCTACTTTTGACGAAGTAAGTGGGTAGGAATAGACGCGATGAAGACTGAAAGAACGCAAGTTCACTTTTTAAGCGACTTTTTCGCTGTCGTCGCGTCCTCGGATCGTAAAGTCCCTATTGTAATTCGAGGGTGACGTTGGACCGGCCATGCTCCATTCCTCTGAAGCAAAAAGGAGCACTTTTTAGCTTTGGTGGTTCCTAGGTTCATATAAATAGCCACTTGTAATACCGTTGCACGGCGTCTCATCTCCGGCTTTTAGAGCCGTACTAGTTATTTCTGCTTTGTAAATTTTCTATTTGTGCCCTTTTCCACAGTACGATGCAAACTGTTTTTATGACTCAAAGACATATCTTCACATGCCCTCGAACGCGCAACAAATGGCGACTCACACCAACTCCTCCTCAGACAGATTAGTACGGAATACCAAAGATTCCTTCTTCGTCAAAACAATAGTATGCTCGACAAAGTTAACTCAGAATGGTGAGTTAATGTTTATTTCGGATTGTTATGAATGGACTCAATCAATCAATCCATCCATCAATCATTCATTCAATCAATTAATCAATTAGACAGCCAATCAGCCAGTAAATCATTAGTTATTAAATGGTAACGTGTGTAGCGAAAGGCGTACCAGTTATACCTGTTTCGTGTTTTGTATTTTGTACTTGTTTTGGGTTTGTTTTTTTGTTTGTCTTTGGGCACAAAAGACTCATTATCGTTTGCATTGGTTTCTGCAAACATCAGCTTTTGTACTTGCAGCAACACTGTTCAGGAATTCTCACGCGCTAATCCTATTAGTGGGAAAAGCTCCGTAATGACATTTGTTATGACTCCTAAAACTCGTGAATTCAGTTTTTACTGACCAATAATGCTGATGTTTTTCTAGTGGACCTTGTTGGCTTGTTAAGATGGAAAGCTAAAAAACGGGAGATTCCAAAAGTTTTAACCTCTCTGCTAAAAATTGATGGCGAAGAAATTGTCAAGGTAGGTTTGGTGCGCTCGGAAGTTTCATTGGTAGGTGGTAAGAGAGCAAATTCAAACTCATGCGTTGTTTTCTAATAATTTACAGTTTCTTCAAGACATTTTTGATGCGTTGTTTGCAATTTTGAATGAGAGCGCAGAGCAATACGGCACCCTTGTATTCCGCGCTTTGGTAAGTACTATGGATAGTATCGTTTTGTGTAATTCCAAAGTGGCCACCTGTTCCCTTTAAAACCTCTTTGAGTAGAAACCTGACAGACTAGTATTCCTAGTGCCGTCTTTTTTCCCCCTCGAAATAATACAAGTGACTATATGGACCACGTGATTTTTACTAACCGCCGCTCGGTTGTCTCAGTGTGAAGAGCGCTGGTGGAATGCAGCACGGGAAGACGTGGGCTTAAACCTCGGCCGGATCAGTAAGATCATGGCAGCTGTGATTTAAGACCTTGTCTCATGACCCGTGATCGCGTCCTTTGGCGGTGACGTTTAGCCGTCGGCCTTGCCTCTTTTATCTTCTTGTCATCAGTCAATTCGAAAGGGACGTAGAAGTACCCACAATACTGTTCGAAAAGAGTAGGTTAAGTTTCCCCGGTGATGTAGGCTACCTCGTCGACACATCATGCATATCATGGGCTGGGTGGATTACACTTAGCTCATTAATGGATATTTTTTTTAATATTTTATCCTGTTACTTTTGTCTCAGGTGTTCATCATCTGCCTCCTTTCTGCTGCAAAGTATCAACACTTTCGAGGCGTGTTGACGACCTACATTGAAAAGCATTTCAGCGCTACCATGGCATACAAGTAAGTGGACAGGAATGAAAAAGGGATATAAACGCGGCAGGATTAGCTCAGACGGTGGAGCGCTTGACTGCAGAGCGAGAGGTGGCGAGTTCGTTTCCTGGGGCTGGACCAATACCCGGGGTCTTAAAATATCTGAGAAATGAAGGTACCCCTTTGCACTGCAAACGGCTAGCCCTGCGCATGGCTCGGATGACCATGTAAAATAGCGGTCTCGTCTCCAGTTGAATCTCTGTTTGTTTATGTACAAACGAACGGTCTAAACTAATATAAACTTTTCTTTTTTTTGTGATAGGAAACTTATCAGCTGCCTGAGGCAAGCTTTGTCCTTTTCAGGGGAAAACGATAAAATGGATAACCTAAAAAATACTATGACGGTGAGCATTTCTCTCCCTCTTTTTAATCCTGTGCACTGTGCGGATGTCTATATCTGGGACGCTTGTCCCGCTTTCAACGCCTCCACTGCGCTGATGTCTTGTTTACTAGTGGTCCAAGTTGTATAGGTAAAAGACAGACGGGAAAGTTTCTGCTCTTAGTATTACCGTATATTATCTGAGAATGTGGCAGTGCTGTTGTTTCCCTGAACAGTTTTTATTTTTCTTTCTTTCAGGCGTTAGAATATCTTTTTAAATTTATTATTCAATCAAGAATGATGTTGATCAGGTACTTCACAAACAGTGCTCTGTATTCTGTAGATTTGAATTTTAAAGAAGGGAAACCTGTATTCAGAGGCACCCTTTGCTTAGTGGGCGAATGGCGTAGTTGTCGACAAACATTTTGTCCTCTATTTTAAGTAAAACGAACCTGTATTAACGGGCGCAGTTGAAGGTCACGTGGTTGTTGGGCGTCCACTTTTTTTCACTGTCTATACATTTCCATGGTCTGTTTCACTCGTGGTTTGTCCATGTTGGGGGTCAAATAGGCAGAAGAATTTACATGGTCTTTAGTTCCCACTCTCTTGATGAACATGGCCGCCGTGACGAAATGGAACATAGAAATGACTTTAAATAGTCCAGTTTCGAATTAAAAATCACCGCTGAATACAAACATTAACGACACATTCATACAGGGTTAGCCTCGACGTAAAGTAAAATATTCAGAAATTCTGGCAAGTCAGTGTTTGAAATTTGAATATACGCAATAGACAGAGTAATAAACAGGTCTTTTTCTGGTTGGAATTTGTGAATATATTACTTCAGATGGAGGCTAAAGCTGTAAAGAATCATAGCGAACTCGAAAATGGGCTATTGCTCAAAACCCAAGTGGAGCCACTAGCCGCAACCACTGTAAAGTTTTGAACATTTTGGCGTCATTTCTGTGGTCTTTGCTCAATGTACTGTGAAAGTCATCAATAATAACCAGTGGAAAAGATATGCCTAGAATTAAATATATTGCATTTACTCAAAATAGTTAAACTAACTTTTGACTATTATATCAAAGATTCCTTTCAGCAAATTTTATGGTAGAATAAATAAAAGAGGCGGAGTCTAGCATTTCCATTCGTAAGAAGTTTTTATTTATTATGGTTGTAGTATGCACCGTGAACGCGACGCAGCCACTCAAGAGGCATTTAGAAAGGATCTGTATTCTGTCTTTACGGATTTGAATAATTTAATGTCTTCACGACTTCCTGATGTTACTGCAAAGGTAAGATAATTTGAAATTTCCGGTATTGGCATAATGGCAGAAAGAGTCAGGGCTCTTAGGGCAATTCTTCTCGCTCCCTTTTACGTGCGGTCGTTATTACCCTCCCTCCCTCTGGATGTCTTGAAGTATTTACTAATCTCTCCACTGAGGTTCTCAGGGAGTGGTACCTGATAGGTACCGCTGACCAGGGTTGTCATGGTTATCTTCCGCGCTTGCTTCCGACTCCCTCAGTTTGTCCTATTGGCGATGGGCTTAACGTAATCTTTAAAGTACTGGATTTGTTTTTTTTTTCTTCTCGACAGTCTTTAGCTGTGCAGCATTTTCCTGGAATTTACGAAGACGCGCTAAAAGTTTTTACTTCAGAAGAATTAAGGTTTGTGATCTTTCTTCATTTCTGGCAAATAAATGAATTACAACGTAGGTAAGTGGCCTGCGCGACATTCAGCATAGTACCGCGGTCATAACGTCAACAATTTCTGTGAGTAAGCCATTTATTTCCATTTAGCCGGGTTTGTCGTTAACTAAGTTAAGTTCGTGGAATGAATCATTTAGCCAGTCAGTCCCGTCAATTAAACCGATCATTCATTAATCATTTTAACTAGTGGGTCGATCATTCCAGTGAGTCTGTTAATAGCCATTTAATGGGTCATTTGTCAGCCAGTCAGTCAGTTCGTCCATGCGTCCGTCCGGCTGGCCGTCAGCCAGTCAGCCAGTCAGTCCCTCAGTTCGTTGTCCTTCCGTCAGTCTGTCAGTCCGTCCTCCGTCCTCTGTCCATCCGTCCGTCTATCAGTCCTGTCGATGAAACCGATCAGTTTTATCATTTAACGAGTGCGTTGATCAGTCCAGTCAGTCTGTTAATAGCCATTTAGGCTGTCAGGCAGTCGGTCAGTCTGTCCATGCGCCCGTCCGTTCGTCCATCAGTCAGTCTGTCAGTCCGTCCGTTTATCCGTCCATCAGTTTCGTCAATTAAACCGATCAGTCATTTATTATTTAACGAGAACGTCAATCAGTCCAGTCAGTCTCTTAACAGCCATTTAATGGGCCATTAAGCAGTCTGTCTGCCAGTCAGTCAGTCCGTTCATGCGTCCATCCTTCCGTTCGTCCGTCAGTCAGTCCGTCGGTTCGTCCGTTCTTCCGACAGTCTGACAGTCCGTCTGTCAGTCATTTTGTAAGCTGTTTAAGTCAGTTAGGTAGTCAATCATGCCGTTGTTTTGACGGCAAAACAAAAAACATCCAGCTGTCTTATGTGGTAATCTTTGACTAAATCCTTTGACTTGTGTGCATTTCTTTTAGTACAATTGCTAAGCAATTCCTTGTCAGTGCCGCTGGGGATCACAAAGCTCTCGCGAGCAGTAAACTACAGTTTATTGATGCCACTGTGAAGAGCCGTCTCTTTGGACATCAGGGTAAGACAACATTTATCCCCAAAGAACTTTATTGTTGGGAAGATACAGTAGACATCTATCTATTACTCAGTCCTCCACTTGAGTTTCAGGGTTTTGAATATTCTTCCCTCATTTGTGTTGAGCCCAAGGCTATTAAATTTTAAGGCTTGTAGGCCTTGTACACACAAGTGTGTATCGTATTTAGAGAAGGAGGTAGTATGGTAGACTGGTTAGAGCGCTGAATTCTCAATTTGGAGGTCCCGTGTTCAAGTTCCGCCCTGGCCGATAGCTGAATTTGTTCTCGGTAGTCCCCTGGGCCAGCTTCCTCGAAAGATGGTAAAGTTTAACCCAGGATTAAGCCAAATGTTCAGCAAGGTTCAATCTTCTTGTATAAGATCACGTAACTCGAGATTACAAAATACCGTTGTGCCGGCTTTACTTCGAAAAAAAGAAATGATAACACAAAATGTTACGCTAAGGAATGCTTGGGAAGGTAAATACCAAAAGTGGAACAAAATTTTAATCCTGGCTTAGTGCTAATCGGCCTTCCAGGAACCGGACCCTGGTCATTTTTGCTTCCTTAAACGCATTGTCAACTTTGGCAAAGTTCAAGATCATTTCCCCTAGGGAATGAATTTGGGGCTGAAAAGTTTTTCATATGTAACTTTTATTTTGTGCAGAATCCAGAACGATACTTATCCCTGTGCTAGTGGCTTCTCTTCAAAAACAACTGGTACAAAAACAAGACATGAAAACATGTGCGGAAATACTGGGATCGATGCTGACGACTTTACAGACGGAGACCACGGTAAGGATCTGTTTTTACATGTGAATTACCTATGTAAACCTTTATCGCTGTTTGTTGCTTCAGTATATGTGTTATATTGGAAGTCTATACATTTATTTTCTCCACAAATGTAAAGGACGTCCAGTAGGTGCGCGGTGTTGAATCCCACAATAGGCCCTTTGCATGATTTGATCACGTGATCAACGTTCGGTAAACACGAAAGCATTTGAACAATTTCAGTAGCACGAGCTGAAAGAGCGTATTAAAATTAGGTAACCTGTAAAATTTTCAGCCATATATCGCAAAGGTAGCGATTGCAACGGCCGCCAAAAATTAGAAGGATTTGTATGAGATAAACAACTCTTGCCACCCAGTCACGTTTGAGTGATATAGGGATTGAGATATAGGGCTGAAAATCCTCAGGTTACCTAATTTTAATATGCTCTTTCAGCTTGTGCTAACAACATTTTTCAAAAGTGAACTGTTTTCGTGTTTACCGAAAGTTGATCACGTGATCAGCTCTTGCAAAGGACCTATTTCTATTGGTTACTTCCAGTGTCATCCAAGCACATGGGCATTTTCTTGACACAAGACCTTGAATCAGAAGTACGACCCTGGCCAATAGAGAGTTTTAGCGTCACGTGTACGTCAAACGGCAAACGTGAATTTTTACTATTATTATTTTTAATTGTTAATTTACTGTTCATTATGTCTGCACGTAACTCAAAAGTCTCGCGCAATTTTGTTTCTATGAAAATTGTTTTGAGCTGATTTTATCTGCTCGTTTTCTAACTTCAGAAATTCTCAACTTAAATTAGACGTTTGCAGTTTGCCGTGTATACTTGGAGTTAAATCTCTTTAAACTGACTTCCTATACGTAACTCGCGTCTGACGCTGGTTATATGCGTTGGTTTTTGGAAAGCAGAGTTGCTAATCTTATTCCGAATTTGTCGTAATAGCGCATTGTTTTTTGGAAACCTTTTTAGCGAGGGCCTATTGAAGAAGATGTGTACCTCATTGCAAAGGCCCTGCTACAGCCCGTCTTTCAAACAGTCATGACCGTGGACAGAACCAGCGAGCTTGCGGTAAGAGCACTTTCTTAATCATACGACTATGCCGAATAACATCAGGTAAATGGTATGTTGCACTCAGACAGGACCCCCATTGTAGAACGAAGATTGTCAGTGTCACTATTTACCCTCTCCACCCTATTATTTAAGTGTCATTTAAAATTGTAAGGCCAAAAGCTCATGTCCATCAGGCTCATCAAATGATGGTAGCTGCTGCTATAGGTTCAGTAATTTTCGCAGGTGAAAATTTTGTTGAAGTCCTTTCTGTTTGTAACTCATGGAGCTAGGTTCATTCAGTTTTTGTGCCCAGAAATATTTATGGGATGAATGTTTTTATAGTCTGGTGTACTGAGTAAACACTAGAACCATGTAGTGTCAAAAGTTTCGATTTACTTTTTTGCATTATTTCAGAGGCATTTTCTGTCAGTGTTGACGAACTTGCTGTGGATCATGACTGAAGAGCATTACCAGAGGTTCTTGAAGGAGTTTTCCAGCAACAAGGAACTGAAAGATTTCTTAGTGAACGTGTTTGTAGTGTTCACTGAAATAGTCAAGCGTGGGATATTTCTTAAAGACTGGATAGTTATCATCGTCTTAGGGAACAGGTGGGGAAATTAACCATAATTATATTTTTTATCATTTGTTGCAAATTTTTCTTCCTTTTCATGGCCCGAGAGTCCACCACGTGACCTGAAAATAACTGCCTACAAATAATGGTCTGCTCATGCGCAATGTCGTCCAACTTTGTTTGGCTGCAAATACCGGTAATATTCTGCTCATGCGTAAATGAAACCACGCTTTTCTCCTTCGTGCGATTGCTCTTGGGTGAAAGTGACAGAGCGGTTCACTTCCCGATGAAGATATTCATTAAAAAAAAAACAAACTCGGTGATCGAATGATAAAACAATTATTGAACTCGTCTATCGCAAGATATCGTGATTTGTCAGTGTCTCGCAGATCAATTACTGGCCTCAGCCGTCGGCTTCACAACTGACGACGTCCGTTCTACTTAGTTGAGATTAATATTGTGTATTGAGGCGCACGCAGCCGTGTTAGCATGAACATATGAACGATTCGTTGGGCTCCCTTTGCGTCTGCGCTAACCAATCACCTGTTAGCTAGTCAATAAATATTCAGTTACATATGAATCGTAGGCTCGATTTCCGCCGTCTCCCGGGTGGATTGCGGGCTCATTATCTCGAACAACAGCTGTTAATCAACCTATATTAATTGCTTTTCCTGAATTCTTGTCTTATTTTGAATGAGTAACTTGATCCGTCTCTTGTTCTCGTACTGTTAGCGCTTTTCCCCAATTGTTCTTAACGAGAAATATTCTGTTTTTAGCGTAATTTTAAGAGCCATTCAGAATTTTTCACAAGCTCTTCTGGATAACTTTTCAGGAGAAGAGAACTTTGACTACCAGGTGAGCCATCTTGACAAGCGTCTGATTATATATGGGATGAGAACGGTGTCACGTGGTTTCTCCGGTTGGAGGACGGGCAAACAGCTTATAAAAACGGTCATTACAAGCAGTGTCGGTCGAGTTTCTATGTATTAGCGACCTTAAGCAAAGACGTCTTTGAGCGACGTACGTCAGCCGAAAGTGAAGCCTTCTCCCTTTTTATATGCCTTGACGCTAAGTTTCTTTGCTCTTGTAAAGACGATTTACCGAAACGTTTGAACCAAACCACTGCCCAAAAAGTCCACTTCCGGTTGACGTCCATCGCTCAAAAACTCTATTGCTTAACCTCCCTATTATAGACAACAATAAAGAACTTGTAATGCCAAAAACAGTAGCGCAAAATGTGGGTCAAATTAATGTTTTGTTTTTGGATGAAACACGACCAGAGATATTCCGGCAAGAAGGAAACAATGACTCAAACCTTGGCGAAACACGATCTATGCAGTTTGAGTAGAAAATGTTTCTAATTTATTTCGCAGTTATGGAACAATTACTTCAACTTGTCGGTGTCCTTTCTTACGCAATCGCATCTTCAACTGGAGAGCTTCACCGAAGTGAAGAAACACAAGATCATCGACAGGTAAAATTGTCAAAAACTCCTTCCTTTAGTAATTGTTATTGTTGCTCTTCTCTGATAGCAAAACATAGGAGTCAATAGGCCTTTTTCAGCTAGTTTGAACTTTTTGAATTTGAAGTTTTTTGAACTTTGAACGATGCTTTAACTCTTGAATTGACTTTTTAACTCAACCACTCTCCCTTACAATGCGCATGATTTCACGTGAATTTTCAGCCAGGTTTTAGCCAATCACTGTCCAATTCGTGCTCGCGCGTAAGCTTGAACCTCGGTCGCCGTACCTTTCCAAATGTTCTTTTCCGTCTCTCTTCGAAGTGTGGTTTTTGCGCTTATGTCCGCTTTTATTTGAGATAAAGTCTGAATTTTATTGGAACTTGAGTCTACACATTCTTGGAGCTAGAATCTGCACTTTATCTGAGTTTGAGCCGAAATTCATTAGAGAATTCCTCACACAGCTGGTCATTCACCTGGTGCAAAACGGCATGCTGGAGAGCAAGAGACGAAGACAACAATACTTTACTTTCAAAGTGCTTCACTCCACTCAGGTGTATAGATGGATATCAGCGAACATAATGCTGTGAACCCTTCGGTGTGCTAGCATCCTGCCCAGGGAATTGAGGGGTAGAGGGTAGAGAGAAGAGTAGAACGATTCCTACTATAACCGGGATAAGTTATAATCTCCGACTTGATGGATCATTTGCCCCGCAAGATGACTTTACCAACCTTTATTTCTGTCCTGTAGGTACGGAGACATGAGACAGGTTATGGGTTTTGAGATTGTTACCATGTGGCAAAGCCTCGGTAAGTTTCAACAGCTTTAAATGTGTAGAGATGTATATTCCTAGCCTGAGAAAACAGCCGACAATTTCGCGACGCCGTTACTGGCGAAGTTTGCCCGGGAAATGACGGCTGTGTAACAAGCGTGGCAATTCCATACTGATGACGCGTCAATGGCGTCATCACCCAGATCTGGGTAGCGCTTCTGTAATTTAAAGTAAATTTTCAGCCAATCAGAAGCACTACCTAGACTATTGAATTTTAAGTTTAAAGTCTTAATGTTTTCGCTAATCAAAAAGTTTCGTTAAAACCCTCACAGGGAATTCAAAATACTAATTTTTTTCAAAGTTAATTTGAATATGTTGTAGTTAATTTTTTATCTCAGGTAATTTCTATTTTTCTTTTGTTTCAACTTCATTAGCAGATATTACCATACCCAAAAACAAAAGACAAACCAAAATTACCCGAGATAAAAAATTAAGTACAACAGATACGTTAACGAGGTTTCCGTCGAAAATGAAAATTGTCATGCTAATGTTCTTAAGAAATTACATAACATAAGTATTCTCCGAACAACCGACATTCGAAAAAAAAAACAACAGAATTTCAGTTTTCAACGGAAATTCTCGGTATTCAAAATTAATAGCGAAATATTAAGCTAAAATTCATTTTTCCTTTGTCATTAACAGGCTCTTTTCAGAGACATTTTATGCTTAGTCTGGTTTGTCCTTTCCTTGAGATGACTCTTGTTCCTGAGAGAGGTAAGCTGGCAACGCCATTTGATTTCTTTCTTTCTCTCTTTCTTTCTTCTTTAAGAATTCAAATTAAATCATGACTTATCTCTCTTTCCCGGCTGGATGTGCTTAGTTATTGTCATATGCAGAAAAGCCTCAAAACCTCCCAACAATTTTCATAGCACGTTGTGTTTATTCTTGGTTTTTGATTACATTTCGTCTAACACAAGTTGTTAAATATGATGTCCCAATTAGGACGAACGGGACAATCAAAGTTGACATTTTAATGAAACTTGAGTCTTGATTCGTTATTCTATTTTGATAGTTTATTTTATTTAGCTTCCATTATTTTTGGCCTTGGTGCAGACGTCTCCTATTCTTTCTACTTCAATACAAATAATTCAATACACCTCATTCCATAACGCAAGTGCCCCCAACAATTTTTTATTATTATTACAGAATTGCGTAAAGCTACATTACCGATATTCTATGACATGGTTCTATGTGAACTGAAGACGGAAGGCTGCGCAACCATGGTATGTTGATTTAAATCTGTACCTTGAATTAAGGGAATACTTTAATCTTGTGCTTAGAGTACTGTGAAGACAATTATTGTTTTGTTTTCAGCATGTCCTGTCTAAAAACTTTCTTGGAGTACTCGTAGTCTTTTAAGGGGGATGATTGGCTTTTTCATCATCTTCATGATCATCATCATCATCATCATCATCATCAGTGCGGTCTCAGCCGTGCTGAACGCCTGGCTGTCTAGTTTGCTTGATCTTCCATGCTTGCTGAGAGCTCACTGTTGCCAAAGGTCCAGTGTCCCGTGGCTTTTAGGCTTTTAATAATTCTAATCAAATCTATTTCTATATCCTGGTCCTGCTAAAAATTATCCTTTTTTAGGTTGAAACCAAAATAGTGAACGAGCTCGACAGACTTGTGAGCGTGGACAAAAAAGGCGACAAGGAATACAAGAAACTCTTCAAGCAAATGTGAGAAAGATATAATCCCAAGGGTAAACAAGAGATTCCGGTAAACACGTCGGTATCCTCTTCCAGGGACGATGTGACAACTGGAAAAGAACAAACGTCGCTTTCGTTTTTAGGCTTATTAATAAGCCATTTGTACAATGACGTCTTGTGATCACTAAGGGTCTGTTGACAAGGAGGTGGGGGACCCCAGGTAGGTGAGGTAACCCGCTTGGATGGGTAACCCGCCTGTCCGTATAATCTCTCGTATGGTCAACCAATGAAAATGAGAGATTATATGGACAGACGGATTATCCCACTTGAGCTTGTTACCTCACCTTCCTGGAGTACCCCACCTCCTTGAAAACGGGCCCTAAGACCAGAATTCATTTCGTTTTTTCTTTCATATCTAAATTCGGTAATCCCAGAGAGGTTTAAATAACAAAAGCGCAAATTTGCACAAGAACGCAAAACCCTGAAGGATTCTGTTAGTGGTAGTAAAATGACACTATCGTGCTACTGGCCTATTAGTTAGAGAATAACATATTTTTACCATTAATATTCTTCATGAAATTTTGAAGCACATATGTATCCCACAGGACGTTTGCTCACTCCAAATTTACATTCCATTTCATCAGAAGCATATGCTTCTGATTTCGTATTATCACAATCCTACATCTTTAGGTCTTTGGGCAATTAATTGTTCGTCCTTCTTTCTTTCTTTCTCAGCTTGACGGAAAAGTTTGAAGAGAATTTTCTTTTCAGCAGTGTAGGTATAGCATTTGTCAACCGAGTTACAGACCTCCTGAAGTTACTTTTGGAGTACAGGTGGGTAAAATGCGGGACAAGAAGGATGTTGTTATGTAATAATGCACTTTTTGTTTGTCATTTGCCCTGCTCCTCGGTAGAATGCTTATTACACCAGGGACCAAGTACATCCACGGGCGGTGCTCATACAGTCTGGTCCCCAGGGTCTCACCTCTTCCCCTCCCTTGGAGTAGACCTAAGAACAAGTCAACGACTGGTAATGTTTAGAATTAAATCATTCTGTTCTCAAGTCCATTGTGTTTCATTGTCTTCGAAAGTTCATCTTCTAATTAACTTGGCTGTAGAGACTTGGCTTTCGTGGCACACCACACATAAACTATTTTCAGCCTTAGAGTTTTATAATCCGCCCCCCCGCCAACATCATTGGCGGTACTTGAAGTCAAAACTTGACAAATGCACACATCTTGCCTGTAATTAAGCTGCGTGTAAATGTTCGTGCAAATTTTTTACACGCATGTTTTTTCGTGTATTTTGTAAATCCGCCATATTGCACTCTAGTTACACGCGTGCTCTTCTATTCCTGTGACCTACACTGCACTTTTTAAGGTACGGTGGAACCACGCCTGATCGATGATCATATTAATAAAGTCCGTACACGTATGTATAGTCGTGAACTTATCGTAAATCGCAAATGTAAGGGACCCTTTCTAATTTCTGAAAATGCATGATTGATTAACAGGAGAGTATCTGCCGAAGAGTTAGACGACAGGGAACAGAAAATGAGCTGCCTTGTAAATTTACTGGTAAAGTGCAACCTATTTTGCTATTGAGAATCTAAAACGGAAGTATACTTGATAGTGTTGTCACAATAGACGTAATCAAATGTAAATTGTCTGTCAATAAAAATGGATTGCTAAGGCCTTCACTTCCATCGGTGCTAAATTTGTGGAAGAAGTTTAATTTGTGCAATTTTCAATTCAAGGAATTCTACAAGGAAATTGATCGCGAGGACATGTACATCAGGTAAATGAGCTTTTTCCTAGAAAGAGTTTATGTTGCTGTCTGTAAATTACTTGTTCTTTTTGTCAAATAGGGTACTTAGCTTTTCAAGTAAAATTATATCTGTGCTCAGCGACCAAACATGTTTTATTTATTTATTCATTTCTTCCCATCATTTATTTTACCAGATGTATTGAACGATTGTGCGATCTGCACATCACCGCCAACAATTTCACGGAAGCTGGTTTTACAGTTCTTAAGTATGCTGAATTGTTAGAGGTACTCAGAGGGTGACGGGAAGTGGAATATTATGATTAAGCTTAACGCAGGTTTTCCTTTCTTAACCAGAACAAAGATGCTTATACTTTAATAACCCCGGTGTTATTAAACTAGTACTACGTCTGAACAGGTTTCGGTTGAAATGGCGAGTCCATATTCACAAGTATTGTTGTTAAATTCTTGTTTAAGAACCTGCAAATTCAAAACTTAACTCAACATTAGAAAAAGATCTGCAAAAACCCATTGGTCCCCTTGCTTTGATAAAGTACTGTCATGAAGCAGACCGCTGACCGCATTTCATCGTATCGTGTTACCTCAAGTGTCGAAAAGGGAAGTTCAATAGTCAGGCCCGTCACGACAGATGTGGACGATCAGATTAACCAGACAATACTATAGGCCGTATGACGGCGTGGGCAAGTGCGTTTTAGCGTGTCACTCTTGGGTTTGAGTTAACTCTTCACTGGTTTAACAGATGGTGCGAAGGCGGACAAGAGAATGGCTCTCATATATCACTATAAGTTAAGTTCGCCTTCTGGCCTGAAATGGGGTGTTGATCTTATTAATCGGTTAAGTCTGATAAAGGTTATGGTTTCTATGGGACCAGGGTCTGGAATTAGGTATGGCTTTTTATCAATTGTCGGTTGTGTATAGCGGTTAAAGTTTTTAATAGGGTAGGAAAACTTACACTTGGGGTAGGATTAGGGTGCGAAACGCAAAGCGTAGAGATGCTAAACGAAAACTACCGTGAAATTTCCTTGAAGTGTCAGTCTAAATCTGCTTAAGAATTAATCATATTTTTTTGTTTCTTTTTTCAGTGGTCTGATGTAGTGATCAAAGACTCCCCTGATGCACAAACGCAGTTTCAACTAAAGGAAAAGTTATATTTGGACGCTATTGACTTCCTGGACAAAGGAAAGGTACTTGATCTCCTTATAAGAAAATGGTATGGTATTGCGCCAAGGCTGTGTCTTCGGCAAATGTAAAGAGTTCCAAACGAGCCAATGTCTTCACCAATACCGTAAACTGTCGCTTATAAACTGCCCCCAGGTCCAACAAAGTGTGACAAAAAATACATCGGATTATAAGCTGCCCGGATGTAAGGTCCCCTCTAAATACACTGAAATGAATTCGTTTTATTATGACGTTTTAAAGCTTGAAACTTTGATGAACACCGCTATAGCTTGTTTCGAAGCACTCTCCCTATGGTTGTAACTAGAATGGATACCTTAAAATCAGGTTGGACACCTTATGTTTATTACACAACGCTACACTAAATTTATGCGAATTTGTAGGGCACATTTTTGAGAAAAGTGGGGAAATCAGAGTAAGAGACAGTTGTGCAAGGAAAATAGTTGAATACAGGTTTTAGGACCGAAGTTCAGTGATAAGGGTTAAGCACTGTTTCAAAAACGGTTGGCTTTCAATAATATAATGATCAGTGCCATGTGTAAAGTACATTCAGATTAATCGGTGTCGGAAGTTAGCCCCTGATGTTGTAGTGGATACAGATGTGGATTATACATCAAATGATGCGTTTTCAAGTCTTACATACTACCTACTGTTTTCTTCTGTTTTTCTTTCTTTTCTTATTTGAGTGAAGATGACAATCTGACTTTGCGGTATCCATTCTAGTCACAATCCTTTTCCTATCCGGTTTTAAGCCCCCTCGGATAAAAGCCCCCACCGTTTATAAGCCCCCTTAAAACCCCGTACGAAGATGAATAAGCTCAGAGCTTATAAGGGCGGCCGTTTACGGTATTTCGTGTTGGTTATTCAGTACCATTTTATGTGATGTTGTATCAGTTAGCCAGGAACAAGAGGACCGAGAGTGTGAGGGAATACGTTCTGTTTTTCTGAACAAGAGCGTTAAAATTTGCTACCCTATTAGTGCTTCATGATTTTTTGTTTTTGTTGTTGTGTTTCAGACATGGGAGAAGGCAATTGAACTGTGTAAAGAGCTGGCTGAGCAGTACCAGTCATATCTCTATGATTACATGAAGCTGGCCAATATCCTAGTATGTATATTTATTATATGGAGGAGAGTGTTTTACTGGGAACTAAACCACTCGTAGATTCCATACGCCACTTCATCCGGGACCCGAGTGGCGTATTTTCCGTATGTCACCTTTGTGAGTGTTGTATCGTTCAATGACGTCACGATTCCCGCCTTTTGCTTTTGTTGAATTGGTTTCTCCATATAATAAAAAGAACATTCGATATGAATTTTATGTTCTCGTGGCAAGAACAATATCTCACTCGTTCGCTTCGCTCACTCGTGAGATATTGTTCTTGCCACTCGAACATAAAATTCATATCTTCTCGCCACCGTGTAATATCCTCTATATATAGTTCAGGGCCCAGTTGTTCGAAGGCCGATTAGTGCTAAACCTTAAATTTTGACGCGGGTTTCTTTTTCTTTTGTTCAAAAGAATTTTCCCAGATTATTTTCTCAATTCTTTTTGGGCCATCCAGTCATCAACTTGTAGACAAAGAGAATGAAACTGATTTTGCTTTTTAAGCTTCGATATCTGAATTCAAATTTCGCACTAACCCTGGGTTAACTTAACCCTGCTTTGAACAACCCGGCCCAGGTTGTTGGTGAATAGGCGAAGTTTTTATGTGGAAGGTCCTAATGCAGGTGCCAAATGGTGCTGCTAGGTGTGATGCGGATATGAGTCTAATACTGTAAAATTTTATCCTTAACCGACTGTAACTAGCAATTGTCAACCTTTCCTTTTCTGACTAGAAAAAGCAAGCCAAGTTCTTCGACAACATCATGAAGCAAGTCCGACCAGAACCCGAATACTTCAGAGTTGGTTTTTATGGCAAAGGCTTCCCGTCATCAGTGAGGGTAAGTATTCCGGTAAGTGATTTGGGAGGGGGTGTGTGTGTGTTTGGGGGGGTGGGGGAGTGGTTCGGAGAGAGAAACTAGGCTGATGTAGACGCTGGAGAGCAGGTGAAGCCACGTCTTTTCTGTTTTGTATGTCACTGGTTCTTTATCTGGCTTGGGTTACTGGAAAGACGGTAAAAGAAATTGCAAACATTTTTGTTCGTGTTTTTTGTTTGACTTTTTAGAGAAACGTGTAACTGGAACTTATAAGATATCGAGCGCTTACCATTTGTACGGAAATTTCCGCGGTGAAAATTTTCCGAAAAATTTTTATTTTTGTTTCTATAGCCTTATTTCGCTTTATTTTCGGAAGATTAAACAATTTCGACGTCCACTTGTATCGGGATTTACTTAGCTCGTCAGCTAATTTATAAAGCGGTGCACGGCTCATGCAAAAATTTTTCTGGCCATCATTCTTCAATAATTGTTTCGCTGACAAAATCGTCCCACCAAGCTCTAGTCCGCTTGTTTAACTTCCGTCCGACATGGAGAGAAGCCTCATAACGTGGAGCATCCGTTTGGCGTAATTGAAGTGTACATTAATTATGCTAGGTTGAACTGCACATAGGTTATAAGACTTGAAACTGAAGTCCAAATAGTAAAGAAACGATGACATTGCGCGCGGCACCATCTTGAATATTGACGGTAAAAAACTGGGCTCGATCTTGTTACGTCACCGGATAAAAAATATCCGGATTTAGCGTACACACGATTCCGGATTCGTAGCGTGTTCAAAAATTTCCACTCTGGAGAGCAGCTTCAAAAAGTTGCAGATTCGTTTTCCGCCTGGATTCACCGGATACGTGTGGACGGAGCCTTTGTTTGTTTCCTATTTCTGGTACCGAAAAAAAATAGTGGCATTGAGTTGTACGACTAACAAATACCCCTTAATATTTCGAAAATTTCGTTCATTTCGGTTAAAGGGGAACAAGGTAACACCACAGAAGGTGCTGCTTTTTTCCTGAAAAAGCCTTCATCCTTTACAAAGAGACCCAGTCTTCTAAACCCAAAATAACAGCTCACAACATTCTATGAGAAAGCGAAGCCAATCGTGTGGCCTGAATTTTCAGCCTTGGTTCAAGGTAATGACTGGCTTTTGATCGACTAGGCCGCGTTTAAAACACGTCATCTTTGTATTTCTAGGCAAAACAGTTATTTCCTAAAGACTTGTAACTATTGTTTTTTCGTTTTCCTCTACAGGACAAAGCGCTCGTGTATCGAGGTCAAGAGTACGAGAGAATTGGTTCGTTTAACCAGAGAATGCAAGCGCAGTTCGCAGATGCACAGGTGTGAATGACAGTCAACAACTGTGGTTTAATGAGTTGACTCTTTCTCTTTACTAAGATGTCTCAGATTAGATTGAAACTAGTCGCCCCATGTAAGAGAATCCATAACAGTCTTGGATTCTGGATTCCACATATTGGATTCCGGATTCCAGGTTCTAGATTCCAGGTGCTGGATTCCAGTGTTTGTCAGTGGAACTTCGACTCTAACTCCCAATCGTTAGGGGGATTTCTGATTCCTTGAGCTCTACTCCGTATTCCCAAGTCCAGGATTTCAGATTCCACAAGTAAAATTCTTCCGCATTCCGGATTGCGCAAGTAAAAATTTCCCGGATTCTGGAATACGGATTCCCTTACATGGGGCGAAAAAAAGGCTTAGCTGGTTGCTCAACGGGTTAGTTTGTTGCTTATTTGTTACTTAACAGGGAATTCCATTCACAAAATTAACAAGCCTTAATAAATTTGTAAAGTTTTACGCTGGTGTGCGCGTTGTTTCGTCTTGCAGATGATGGATAAGAACACCCCTCCAGAAGACGACGTCCTGGAATCTGACAAACAATGTATCCTTTTACGTAGCTTTTGGAGACAGTTCCTTTCGTGGAAGAGCTGAAGGCTGCCTCTCTGCACCGTAACTGTGGTTATGCTGGCACAATTTGATCCCACTGCAGCCCCTTCCTTAGGAGGTCGTCTTCCTTTCCTTTCTCCTGTTTCCTGCGTGGCTGGCGGTTTTGTTGAGGGGGGTGGGGGGGGGGGCTGCTGGGAGAGGGGAAGGGGCAATGGCGAGCGGCGAAACGTTCACGTTCGCAGCTGTGGTGCCCATTTGCGCGCTCGGCAGACAAAACCGCCAGCTACGCTGGCAACGATTCGTTGGTCATTTCAATTAAAACTGCTGAGCGCTATTTTCCCACTCTCTTGTGTAGCTCTGTGGTTCTTTTGTTTTGTGATTGTCACCAAAGTCCTAAAGCGCGTTTATTAATTCCCCTGTGTCGTGTCCTTGTGTTTCAACCTTGACTTTTATCAGACCTACAATGTTGTCGAGTTATTCCCATCTCAGAACACGAGGAGAGATTTATCGGGAAAGCAGTTGATGACAAGATAGCTGGGTGAGTGATAAGTGTCTGGGTCCATGTTAAAAAATGGACAGTGCTATCGACTTTTGGTGACCCGAATGGCTATATTGCGTAACATGGCTGAATTTGGCTATACTGCGTGAATTTGGCTATACTATTTGCTTATTTTTAGGTATTATCGTGACACAAACGTTTCCTGTTTTGTAATAAACTCTTTGCTTTGCAGAATTTTGATTTACTGCTTGTCATATTTGTTTATTTTTTCCCGGTATTATCAAAATGAGGTGAATGACGTCAAACGCTTTATTTTGTCCACCAGATTCACTTGATGCCATTGTTTACAGGTATGCGCCGATAGGGTTGGTTTTACATTGAGGATTTTGCGACCAGTAAGCGGAAAACTAGTCGCCAGGTTTGCAGAATGCTTTGAATATTAACATATTAAACTTGTGTCTGTTTACTCCTTACCTCAAAGTTTGTTCACAAAGCAGTGTATAGACCTTTCCCGCATCCCGCTCCAGTGAGCAAACATAACAAAATGAGGTCGAGGCTTGGATGCACAATTTCATACAAATCACTGCATTTTGTCCACCAGAGCCTCGACTTGATGCCTTTGTTTACAGGTATGCGGGAAAGGTCTATTGTTGAGTAGCGATAGTTGGTTGGTTTTACATTGTCACGTTTTCATGTGATTGTCACCGCCCTCTCGACCAGTCAGAAGTAGGGCCAAAACTAGTCGTGACATTCAGCAATGAGTATTGTGAACTTCTTTTTGGCTTAAAGAATTAGAAGTCTGATTTGCTCATTGACTAATTTTCGCCTGTTTTAATTATTCAAACTGATTACTTTGATTGAAGACCGCGTTGACACAGGTCCGGACAAATTTTTGTACGGACAAAAACTAGCACAGATAGCTGTCTGCCTTTCCTTGACAAGGAAGCGCGGAAAATTGCAAGTTTTTGAATGGCAAACAGTCCTGTAATCTCTAACAGAATTTACACGGTTTTGTGTAAACGGGTTGTACGGATAAAAAATTCGTCCGTTCAAACATCTTTCCAGACCCTTGTAAACGGATCCATGCAAGTTTTTGTCCGTACAAAAATTTGTCCAGACCCGTGTAAAGACTAAACGGGCTCTAATTTTACGATAATGACTCATTTTAAAAAAACTTATTAAATTTGTTTAACATTCGCCCTAAACAATCCGATTTTGAAATTTCAAGGTTTTTCTTTGGCTTTCCTGCGTGGTAGGAACAGCTTCGGACACAGGGTTAAGAGTTTGCTTCATACTATGACGAGTCCAACGTTGAATCCCGGGGTCAGTTTGTACTTTATTCCCACTTTGCTCAGATCTTCTGTGGGGCTTTTCTGTCATATCACCTTATCAAGAAATAACGTTCCCAAAGGATATTCTACCTTTTTCTTTGCTGTTGGATCTATGGTACTCTCGACTAAGAATAACTCGGAAAATAGGGAAAGTTTTTCTTTTCATTTGGTTGCTTATTCCTTGAAAAAAGTGCTCTAAGTGATCTTGAGATATGTATTCTGTGTAGAACTTGTGGCTGGAGAGAACGACCTACGTTACCGCCGTACCAATGCCTGGAATCCTACGGTGGTCTCAAATCATTTCTTCAGAAAGTGTAAGTTGATTTTTTTATTATCATTATTTTGTTTTATTTTTTATCATCAGTTTTAAACACGTGTAGGAATATCTATAGAGCAAAAAGTTTCCCAGACCTACGAAATAGTTACATTGCGGTTTGTGAGAGGACCTGAGAGGGCTAACAGGCGCATTTTATGGCTGTATTTGCAATAAATACTAGTTTTTAATTACAATATACATAACAAGTTATAACAAATAGAGATAATTACACACCTATTTACCACGGTAACGGACCTCGGGATCGTCTGTTGTGTGAGTGATGTTGTGGTCGTTGTTTCCAGGTGGAAATCAGTCCTGTGGTGAATGCTGTCGAAACGATGGAATCCAAGAACAATGAACTGGAGAGAGTCATCACTCGTATTCAATCGGACCTCACGCAGAGCATCAATCCCCTCAGTATGATTCTTAATGGTATTATAGACGCTGCTGTCATGGGAGGGATAGCCAAGTATGAGGAGGTTGGTATTGACTGACCCTCCCCTCTCAAGCTCTTCTTAATTTAACTGTCATTAGAGGGATAGCAAAGTGGAAGGAGATTGGTATGGATCTGCCCTCCCCTTCTACAACATTTATGAAAGGTTACCGTATTATCGATGCTGAATTGCCTTCCTGGAAAAACCGGCCTACTCGTTTATGATCCTTTCTGCGGGGTTTAACTTGAATGGGCGCTTTTAACGTTAGAATGAGGCTGAGTATCTTATGAAGAATTATGGAGATCGAGGAGGGTGTTACGGCCTCGACGGATAACACCCTCAGAGATCTCCGTAATTCTTCATAAGATACGAAAGCCGAATTCAATAATCGTTTTATTATTCATTCAAAATAATTCCTAGTTCAAAAACATAGCTAAAACAAGCTTACCTCCATCGATGTTAAGTTCATCGTCGATAGTGCACGTTTAGGGTTGTTCAGCTCCGCAAATATTCTCCAAATAGAAGATGTCGCCCTTCGAGTTGTCTTTTTGCTGTTCTTGCCATGTTTTTAGCTATTATTTCGCCTAGTTCTTACTCTTGGAACGAGTGAAATGTCCGCCATTTTTGTTTTCACAACCAAAACCACTCAACCTCGTCCCCAAGTCTTCTCGGTTAGGGGTTCATTAACTGCATGAAGGCTGCACTTTTGACGTCATCTGTTCATTCATCGCAAAATTCTTTCAAATTTGGTCATCAGTAGCATGTAATGGTGAATTATGCGTGTGCCTTTAGCCAGTCAGAATCGGGGAAAAATTTTGAATGAATAATATATTCTCCCATTGTGTGCCTTTAACTTTAAAGATCTTCCCATTGTGCGCAGTTAACTTGTCTATGGCTTAAACTAACGGTAATGTTGTTTTATCCCCTTAGTTAAATTTCTTTCTTTTCCACCTTTTAGGCATTTTTCATCCCGGAGTATCTGCAAAAGAATCCTACCGATAAAGAGATTGTCGATCGACTTAAACGGACCATGGAGAAGCAGGTCAGGATCTACAGTTGGTCATAGTTAAGATACGTGGAAACAGAACGACAACTCCCACCATCGTTGGGCTAACAATGTTGGGAGTTGTTGCGTCCGTGTTGGCAGTGGTTTCTAAGCGGATGCAACAACTCCCAACGATGCTGGGACCTGTAGTGCATCGTGGGAAGGATACACCCCATAAGACTTTGGAGAACATGGGTTATGCGCGTGCGTGGCCCCAACACTGTTGGAAGAGCTGTGCAAACGGATCCAACATTGTTGCGCAACGCTTCGGCGATCACGGAACAAAAGAAATGTTCGGAGTTGTTGGCTCAAACTTTTGACCGGTTTCAAATGCAACAGGGTGTGCAAACAGACGCAACATGCAACATCCAATAGTGTTGGAAGTTGTTGGCCAACAATGTTACGTCCATTTGCACGGGGCTTTTTTCACGCTTCCCTGATTTGGTGTCTGATTTACCTTTTTCTGCGAACATTCTGTCATTGTAGGTCACGTTATTGGAGAAGGGTCTGAAACTTCATGACCAATTAGCCACCAAAGACTTGCGTCCATTTCACCAAAAGTTGGAGACGTGCTTTGCAGATATGCAGGCTCGTGTTACTGGAAAGGAGAAGAAGCCGCCGAGACCTAAAGATGTAGGTTCTAGAAATTTAAATCAGTGAAAGTAGTTAGATATATTGCCATTTGATAGATTGTGCTCGAAGAAGTAGCATAATATGCTACCTAGCAGTGCTCGTATATTTCTAAAAGTATGCTAATAATTATGCTAGTTTTTGTAAACTATGCTCATTTTAGCAAAATATACAGAAATTATGCTTCTACTTTTTACTTTAAGGGCCTGTTTCCATGGTGGTGGGGGACCCCAGGTAGGTGAGGTGACCTGCTTAGGTGGGTTAACCCTCCTGTCCATACAATCTCTCATATGTTCACCCCACCTATCATGTAAACGTGATCAAATTGAAATAAGAGATTATATGAACAGGCGGGTTACCCCACCTATGCGGGTTACCTCACCTACCTGGGGTCCCCAACCTCCATGTAAACAGGCCCTAAATTTGGTAAAAATACCTCAATAACTATGCAAAAAACAACTAAATGGCAAACGCATTTACCCTATTTACATCTAGAAACTTCTTAAAAGAGTGCAAAATTTTTCTCTAAAAAATATAAAAACTCATACAAAAAACAAAACACGGAGGCCATCGTGGGTAGCCGAGCTGGGCAGTAATGCGCATGTGTTGAGTTCTGTGGAAAGGTCCTGGATCACTTCCTGTCAGACTCAGGTCCCATGAATGTGACAATAAGCAGACAAAGAAAAACCTTTTCTACTTAAGTTTACCCGTAACAGTTATCTGGGGTCAAAAAAAATTGGTTGCATGATCAATAATTGACAATTTTGTGCTGCAAAACTAGCCAAAAGTGCAAATTTTGTTAGCAGTGCTTTTTTACGGAAGTACATGAAAATTATGCTGGTAATGACGAATTAATTTATGCCAAGAATTATGCTAGCACTTTCTATCAAAGCCTACAGATTAGATACATCTAACTATTGTCCGGAATCACCTAAAATGATTTTGGTAACTTCGAGCTACCCCATATCCTATCTTCGGAAATGTTTGTTTGATTGTCAGGAAGAATCAGAAGTTTGTGCTAATACACTCGAACCTCGTTAAAAAAAGAAATTAATTTTAAAAAAAGCAAGGAAAAAACGTCAGGTCCCAGTAGGTGTGTTGTAAGATAAGGAATGGAAGAAGTTAATAATCACCCAGACCAAACGGCCAAGGGGGAAATCTTTTCTTCAATGACAGCCCTTATGAGAAAAGGAAAGATTGTTTTGTTGTTAGTCAGAGAGAAATACCAAGCTTTAACGATCCCGATGAATTTTTTTTCTTATGGTGCCATTTTGAGGTCAGGGAATGTTACGGGAAAGCTAGCACTTCCTCTATTAGCTATGACGAGTAATATTACCAAATTCCTTGCAAAAACAGTCCCGTATATAGCGGAATTAAACACATCGCCAACCCACTCTCTGTATATACTCATGGCCATTACCTCCGTGAGAAGTGCGGAATTTGAAAATGATAACTCTTTTTTTATTATTCCTTAGCTTCCACTGCCGCCGATTCCGCCGTCTCCAAGTTTACGGATCAAAAAGGATGAGAGAAAGCATAGTTTACCCGGCGATTTTCAGAGAGAGTAGGTTGCGTCATTTGCTTGGTGCTTACTCTACACTGAGTTCATCTTCTCACAACTGTTTAAGTTCTTGCGAACTAAGTTTGTTATTGTGGTTTATCTGACACGAGTTTATTTTATCATCAGCGTTAACTCAGGGACGAATTCCAAACCAACACGACGCCAAAGCGAGATGACTTCACCGCGTAAGAGCATGTGGTACCCGAAGGAGGAGAAGGAGGAGCCACAAACCCGTAAGGTAGTGCATGATTTCGTTCTTGTTTTTTTTCTTTGTAAACTTTATGACTCTTGGAGGCATTACTTCATGCAGCTAGATTATATACAAAAAATATTGAATGAACTTGTGTCTGGGATGTTGTTTGTTCAAGGCATTCCCACAAGTGCAGTGCATCGATTTAAGTGAGACAGGTCAAGTTTTGCCTCTCGCCATTTTGACTGGTGAAAACTAAAGCTTATCAACTATTTTGGGGTCAGTTACTTTTTGAGGGCTAGAGTGTCACCTGAATGGAGGTTAAACCCGGGTTTCGGGAACCAGAAAATAAAAAACAGCTGAGCTAACAAAATCTCGTGCCCAGGGCTTGTCGGTTGCCAGGTCCTTTTTTTCTGTCGTTATCCTGTACCATTCATGTCATTTATCGGATATCGCAAACGTCTTTCAAATTTGGTAAACTCTAGTCATGAAGAATTAGCCTGGGGATTTGAGCCAATCAGAAACGGAGAAATATTTTGAATGAATAAATATTTCAATTTTTTTGTAAAAACTTAACAAATGATTAGGCAAATACAAACACAGTAGTTGATACCATAGGTTTCTAACCATTTCGCCATGACCTGAGCTATGAGTAAGTGGGTTAAGGTCCCTCTTTCAAGTCAATCGCGAGTTCCCTTCTTGAGTTGTCTTTCTGGTTCCATTCGCAGATTTCTGGATCCAAGTCACTAGACGCTCTTACGGAAATAGATGAACCAGCCCCGCCAGTTCCAAAGAAGGGCTCCAAATCAGACATTTCATCTGCGGACTCCCCTGAAACGGTTCCTCGTAGAGCTGGTCTTGTTAAACAAAAGTCTCTCCAAAGGAGTTCATCGCCGGCGAGCTTGATCAGAGCGGCGACCTCGCCACTACAAGACAAGTAATGTCTTTTTTGTTGTTTTTTTTTTGTTTAGTCTAATAAAGTCACAGCTCTCGAGAGCGGCGTTCTCGGAAATACACTGAAGGGCATGTAGCTAGAGGTAATCCTTTACGAACCGTGACGGATTTTGTTTTGTTTAACCCGAAGTTTGATTTATGCTTTTCCCACTGAGTGGACGCTGACTAGATCTTAAAAACAAAAAAAGACCAGCCTGTAATTGAAAAAAGAAGTCGCTGTCGCTTATGTAAGCGGTCAGTGACGATAGCTTCATATTTCATTCAAACGGGGAGCGTTGAATGGATAGAAGTATTTGCTGTCGGACGTTTGCTTTGGCTTTACACCCCTTGTAAGCTCAGATATATTAATCAGTTCTCGTACAACGCAAGCGTTGGGCAAGTGTTTGGCACCTGTAGTTCTCAGTGGGGGATCCAGAGGAGGGGCCCCAAACGGGGAGCGTTGAATGGATAAAAGTATTTGCTGTCGGACGTTTGCTTTGGCTTTACACCCCTTGTAAGCTCTGTTTTACCACCCCGTACGAGAGTACTCATTACGTTAACTGAAAAAAAAAAACCCAGATATATTAATCAGTTCTCGTACAACGCAAGCGTTGGGCAAGTGTTTGGCACCTGTAGTTCTCAGTGGGGGATCCAGAGGAGGGGCCTGGGGACCCCACCGCCCCCCCCCCCCTTATTTTTAGACCAAACTGAGGCCCGAAGGGCCGAAATAAATTTTTTTAGAGACCGCCCGCGCCCCCGATATCTCAAGGTCTGGATGACCTCCCCCTCCTTTATCTGAAGGTCTAGATTCACCTCTGGTTCTTCAGTCTATACTGGGCGACTACAAGGAAACACTGCCTTGTTTTTTAAACTTATCATTTTTGTTATCCTCTTTCATTTTAGTGGAGAAATTTCTCCTGCCCTCCCTCCAAAGCGTAAGAGTATTTATGCGTCCAGTCCTTCCGAAAGCAGCTCCACTCCCATACCACCACCACTCCCTTCACGAAGCTTGGGCGGTGTACCGACTACTTTTGCGGTTAATGGTTCAGGTACAGTTGATGAAACCAAAGCAGAGCGTGCTGCTGAACAGGACAATCTCCCTGCTCTGCCTCCAAAGAAATCTGTGTCTCGGATGTCAGCTGAAGTAGACCTCTCTCCCGTTTCACAGGTAAGAAATGGGTGGTCCCTTTCAGTGCCAAAGTTGACCCGCCAAGTTCAGCAAAATTTCTAAATTTCATGTTGTAAAATGGTGAAGAAAGAAATAGCACCATGTGAAAGTAAAGAAGGTTTAATTTGAATGGTTCTACCTTAGGATTTTGTCCGCGGACGCAAACGTCAGAGCTACCTTACGAGACTCCATCGTTTCTTGTGGCAGTGAAATAAAGGGCTAAAAGTCGGGATTAATTTAGGTTTCTAGGAAACTTCCCACCTACCCCTCCCCTAAGCTAACATTAACACTTGCTTCTCACTTTGGGCAAAATGATGGCTTGGGGGAGGGGTAGGTGGGCAGTTTGCCAGAAGCCTAAATTGATCCAAAAGTCGTTCCTTTATGAAACTTGGTGCAACCAATGCAAGAGTTGCCATCATCGTCACGTGTTCTTATGGTTAATATTCTTTCATTTCTCTCTTACTCTTTTTTCAAGCGTCGCTCTACCATTGCAACCCCAGAAAACAGTTCAAGTTTAGCGCCGGAGCTTCCCGAGAAAAGAAAAAGTTACGCAAGCACCGCATCCAGCCGGGCCTCATCAGTCTTTTCTGATCCACCCTCGGACCCAACATGTCCATTGTCCCCGCTGTCTCCCTCGGGGAATTTTATCGATAGCTTGGGCAATAAAATTCCCAATCCCTTTCCTTCGGAATCCCGTGGATCTTCGGTGTCCTCCGAATCAACATTACTCGCCACGAATTCCCGACCGGGAGTGGGCGACTTCGCATCACCGAGTTCCAACGGATATAGTTACGTATCACCTCCGACATCCCCCCGAGTGCCATATGACATTTTATCATCTCCTAATCAGTCAGTTGCCAGCTGGGTTTCGGAAAGCAGTTATTATTCAGCGTCGTCATCTTTTGATGCTGAAGATCGGTCGCCTAAGAGTCCACCCCCGCCGAAGAGAGATTTTCTTGCGGAGACGATGCCAATGTCTTCAACTCCAAGAAATTTAGACTTTTTTTCGAGAAGCTTACCGACAGTGATAGACTCAAGTCCGCCGCTCGTACCTGTTAAAAATAGACTCACATTCTCATCCTCGGTTGAAAGTAGGTTCATTTCAGAAACGACGTCATCAAATACGAACTCGGAAATGAGGTTCATGTCACGTGAGGAGCCAACAACGAAGCCTCGAACACCAGTCCCCATTCCTCGAAGAGGGACGGTAGGCTCGTCCAGTAGACCTGGCCTGTTATCCCGGTCTGCCTCCGATACGTCTGGGCAAAGACTGCACCTTGAAGGCTCAGGCCAAGAAAGGGTTCCACCACCTGTGAAACCGCGAATGTCACTACAATTTGCATCCGATCAGGGGCTGAAGACCCCGCCGCCCAAACCCCCACGACCATCCCAATCTTCAACGCCTCGAGCACCTCCACCGAAGCCGAAGCCTTACGCTTCTAAATCGGCGGGCAATTCTCCAACGTCTAAACGAAAGGCCGAGAATACAGAAGGAAAGGAAACGTAACGAGACCTTTCCATGTACAGATGAATTTTCGTATCAGTCGTCTCATTTAAAATAGTAATCAATTGTATCTGATACGCAAAAGTATGTCTATTTTCCGACGCGCAGCCGCGACCTCGCCACTTTAGAAACGGGAAGGGAACTGGAGCCGAAATACGTCCCGCAATTGTTTCTGGGATCGTTACTGCGACGCGCCCACCAATCAATCCCAGAAGTCTTTGCGAAAAGTTTCTCGGCCCAGTTCCCCTCTCGAATTGATGCGCTGGTTCACTTGCTATGTTGACGAATACGTGAATGAGCAATATGATTTTAATTGGGCAATATAATTTGTTACAGCCAAGATTACTTTGTATTCTTGCACATCTACACTGCTTGGCTGGCTGTCAGCTTAAGAAAGTCAGTGTGAAACCTGACTAAATCACACATGTACATACTAAAACTGTTTTATAAGCAAAATTTATGACAAAAACAAGTGTTTTCTCTGGAATAATATGGGAAAATTATCACAACAACTAAAGTCACTGCTGTGCAAACAGTTATGTAGTATCTTTTATCGTGGTCAAAAGTAAATAGCGTTAGTAATATACAGATTGTTTATCAAGTTAACACAATTTTTTAAAGATTTATAAGTACCATCTGGCCACTTATCGCCATTTGAAGTACCATTTTTATGTAGTTATTTATAATTTTTATGAAATTTTTAATTTCAATCAGAAAAATGTGGTGTCGTCTCACATATGCTACCGAAATCCAGTTTAATTATCTATTTCGATAGGAACTGTACATGATAAACTTGAGGAGAAGAGCTAGGAAATAAATCATTTCTATTCATTGCGAGGAACGTCTCTATCTCTGAAAAATGTAACGACCCTTATTCTCTTTCTATCCACGGCGCAATTTCGTACCTGGAGTCTTCGTTCTTCCTCTAATTAGCGGCCGTTTCGGTATTCTTGCGTAGTAAGGGGTGAAGACCATGGGTACCAGATTGTCCTTAGCGGGTTTCTGCGCCGTCGCCAGGAACCAGGGGCCAATTTAACAGAACTTTTACAAGTGTGCCCATTATTTTAGTGTCTGAAAACGATAGCTACACCTTTAAATTACTCTTGCAAAAGTTTTATTAAATTGACCCCAGGGGTGAATTTGATTCAAGTGTAGGTATTGTTTTCATACTCTTAAACAATGGCTACACTTAAAATTACACTTGAAAAAGTTTTATTAAGTTGACATTTTTAACGTTGATATCGCTATCCAGTAACGTGCGAGCAGAGCTTTCTTTCTGGCATCATAGCTTTTAGCATTTACTAAGTCGTTCACGACTGACAAGCGACGCGAGCGACTTGTGAGGGCTAAAATCCATGCCACAAAGAAAACTTTTCTCGCCGGGTACTTCACAGTGGATTAGTGCTAGGGAAACTAACTGCGTTATCTCCTGGATAGAAACATTTCCAGCGGATAGTATTATCCACCTTTTTAACAACTGATAAGAGACCAAGCGAAGACAAAAGAGTGCGCAGGGTTTCATGGGAAAGCTGCAACTGGGTAGCACAATACCACTCGTGCAACGCAAGACCACTGGCATTGCCCAAAACGAGGCACCCTCTTGAGCGTAGAGTGTCCTGAGTTCGCTCGTGTGGTGATCAGCTCTGTCATCCTTGAGTAACAGCAGGGAGTATTTCGATGCTGGCAACTTTCTCAAAAAGGCAAATATCATAGGAGTACGGTAGGGACCGGTTAGGCAATTTTTGGTGGCTGTAATTAACTTTTGTATGGAATATATTAACGCCGATGTTTTGCCTTTAGCTTTTGAATAAAACGCGGATAGTCTTGGGCTATTTTTAAGTGACTTCACCGGAACAAATTATTGTGGGCACTGCGATACGCAAATCTGTCACTCTGGTGTAGACACCGTTCGTAATTAGTCGGCTCCGCACGAAAGCGTCCAATATCAAAACGACATCTGTCGTAGATCGATTGTTCCCGTTCTGCGATCAAGAAGTGAGCTGAGCGTGCATTGTGGCCAGAACTTTTAATGTTATGATTTTGCACCCTTCCATGGGGCGATAAGTTGTCTTGTTTAAATCCACCAAGTTTTTTCCTATAGCGGTATCTAACAAGTCAGTGTTAAAGTCAACAACAACAACTTTTATTGACCCCTTTTACTCAAGAAAAATTAAATTTACATGAAATAAAAATTAAAGCTAAAAGGGCTTCCTAAAATAACTAGAGAGTTAACAAGTTTAGGAAGCCAAACTGACATAGAATAATATTACAATAATAGTCTGTAAAGGCAGTGTGTTTTTCAGATAGGTTAAAATATTCTCACACCTCCATCAAGTGAGAGTAAAAGCTACTCTTACCATTGCAGTATAAATCAAATGACATTTAAAAAGATTGCTTGACGAAAGATTCTTTATCTTTAGACTGAATATACAAAATGTACTTGAGGTTTTTTGATTGACAGTGATATTTCAAGGAAAAAGAACCAAATTCAGCTCAACAAGTAATATGACTAAGCCTTGTTGTTTACCTGTAAGTACCGTTTGCAAAATTGAAGGAGTGTCTTTTCGATTTGTGAGCCGTCCCAGGTCTTAAAATCTGGTTTGGCATGCACACCTCAAATTTCACTATTATATGTCAGAATAGGGAAGATCATCGTATCAAATACTTTACAAGCAAGAGATGTTTTTAGCTTTTTAAGATTCGTACGTCGACTCAAGCTAAATAGGGCACGAAGAGCTTTTTCCTTGAGATGTTCACGTGACACTAGAGAAGTAAAGCATCACGTTTACGTCAAACGCCAAATGCGAATTTGTACCACGTGACTAAGTTTTCCCTTTACTTGTCGTTTACTGTTAATTATTTCTACGCATAAATTAGTAGTTTTACCCAATTTTTTTGTCCATAAGAATAGTTTTGAGCTGTTTTTCTCTGCTTATTTTCTATTTTGAGAAATTCTCAACCTGAATCTGACGTTTGCCGTATACGTGAAGCTAAAACTCTCTACTGAGAAATTTCCTGATAAGGAGATTCAAGTTCCAAAGTGAGTGTATTCTTGTACAACATCAATAATTTGACCATCTATGAGAAAGCGAGGTTCAGTCCCAATTTCAGAATAATGGAAATCAAGGCATATTATCCGAGTTGAGAATAATAAAAAGTAAGCTTATTTTTCTACAAATGTACAAAACTTTGTCACTGATAATGTCCAGAATAATTCGCCCACTTTCCAACTGCCTTTGCTCAAACCTGCACAAACTCGCTGTGTTTTTATATTCCTCACTACTTTTCTTTGTAACTTAAAGCACAATCTTTATCGCCAACTTTGATAACTTTTGCCGCTTGGCGACTCCAGTTACTTGATTCTTTTTTTCGTCATTACTTGTGGCAACTCCTTGAATAAGGTTAAGTCATGGACATTTTTCTTCAGGTGAGCATTTTCCTACTCCTCGTTGGACGATTTCCATCGTATGCCATAGTTTCAACCGTTATCCGGCAGCTTTGCAAAAACAACTTTGGGCGGGAAATTACGTCACTGATATTCTTAGTGAATTATTATTAATTGTAGTTACTATATACATGCCTAGTCCCAGTCGCGGTCGATGCGTTTCGGGTCACGTGGTCCGAGAAAGTTTTTGAGGGCGTCTCCCAGCCGTTCGTCTCGGATACGTCACCGAAATGCATTGACGGAGAAGGCCTGGGAAGATGCCGTACATGGCCTAGGCAAACTATATACGACATGCATCAATACTGTATCTCTAATCTAGATATAACGGATGTACGTAATAAACTACGAAAAAAAACCTGATGGCAATCAATTCACTGTCAATGGAAGATATTCACCTTTTTTAAAAGACAAAAACATTTGTAAAATCGTTCTGACCACGTCTAAATTACAAGCAACAAAGCTTTTAAAAGCAAAACACACACTGTCAGGTTAGTATTATTACGTTGATACATAAACTGATATTTGCTGTTTGTTTTAAATTTTTATTTATTATACTTGTTTCAAAAGAGTGCTTTGTTGCCTCGCTTCATGTGAAACAAAATCTTACTATATTAAAGTTCTGACGGGAAACGGACTTTGCTTTCCATAAAGCAAAGACGCCGGGAAATTTCCGTTGAAACATAAATGCAACGCTTTGTTCTAGACGGAAAGTTTTCGAAACTATGAAGCATTCTAGTTTCCGGGTGTACTTAATAAACTAAAAAAAAAACCTGATGGCAATCAGTTCACTGTCAATGGAAAATATTCACCTTTTTTAAAAGACAAAAACATTTGTAAAATCGTTCTGTTCATGTCTAAATTACAACAACGAAGCTTTTAAAAGCAAAACACACACTGTCAGGTTAGTATCATTACGTTCATACATAAACTGATATTTGCTGATTGTTTTAAATTTTTTATTATTATACTTGTTTGAAAAGAGTGCTTTGTTGCCTCGCTTCATGTCAGTATGTTAAAGTTCTGACGGGAAACGGATTTCTTTCGATCGAGCAATGTCGTTCCATTTTCCATTGATTAGTTTCAATGTTCTCTGAACAATCGGTCTGGCAAGATGGAAACTACCCAGACTAGACAACAGCACTGCTCGAGGAGCAAGTTGCATTTGGTGTCACAACCTACTCAGTTTAACTCATGCACGTTGCAAATTGCACAGCATGAGAGTCATTAATTAGCCAATTTGTGTAAACTGCATACAATACAAAAAACTTAGTTACAGCTGTACATCCTGTGGAAGTTTTTCATGAGCCCACCAAGAAAAGCTATAATGTAATAGTTAGAATCTAGCAGCATTCAAATTGCAGACAATGTTGTGCCCTTTATATCTCTTCGGTTGTTGCCCATAACTCCCATGTTTAATTTTCTGTGACAAAACCCAACACCTCAACTCTATTGCAGACAAAATCCTTGTCTTCTGTGAGCTGCACATTACCAAATGTCTCGGTGGGACCACTCTGTCCTCGCTTGAGTTCATCATCCAGCCAAATGGCATGATCGCAACCACTGAAAAAAGTAATGACAACATCTTAAACGTTTACACTTGTTTCCATTGGTGAGATCCCTGAAAGGATAGAAATGGGAACTGGTATTTGACTGGTTTTGCCATGAAAGAGGGAATTGGAACACTGCTAAGGTAAATTAAGGCATGGGCCCCAAATGATTTAGTCAAAAAGTGATGGGGGGGTGGTCTATCTCTGAGCGCTTAAGCATTAGAAAGATGTGTGTATGTATCAATTTGGTGTTTTTCAATTAAGCAAATGTTGTCACGTAACTCCCACACTGTCAGAAAAACAATAAAAAGTCTTTAAGCAAAATGGCAACACTTTTTGTTGTGAGTTATTAAACCGAAGTGGTTTAGGACAATGTGTAATGCAAGCATCTACAAAACTGTGCTTGGCCTTTTTGGAATTTTTTACTGTTTTAGAAAATCAACGATTTTTTCAAACCCAGTCCCCCAAGGCAATTTTATCCCATCTTAACGCCTTCGCTTTTAAATATCTAAAAAAGGCCAAGCACAGAAGTGATATATTAATTGGTATTAACATTATGCAACCGGCAAAATAATTGAGGACACACGATAAAATGTTGCCATTTCAAGAACAAGCTTTTTCAGCCGATGGAGGTCACGTGACCTAAGTTGCATAATTTTAAAGCACGAAATTGGCACAAACTAAAAATGTGTGCAGGTGGCAAAGTTTTATGTGTCTACATCTAAAGCTCTTAGATATAGACCACCCCCTCACGTTTGAAGTTTGCAAATTGAGACAAATTGAGGCCCATGCCTTAATTTACTTGAGTGGGTCCGGGATTTGCTCACCGGGAATGAATGAGAAGCGACAAGATAAAAAATGTGAAATTGGCTTTTAGTATGCGAGTCAAGCTAGGCTTTACCGATTTCTTTAGTCCTGAGAAAAGATGTTTTGGGCCCGGTTCAGTCTCATTTTAGCCCAAGCCGCTAGGCGAGAGTTAAAATGAGCTCTGATAGGGGCCCAAAACATGTTTACGCCCAAAAACATTAACTCTATTACTGTTATTATCACTTTGGAGGGCACTGAGAAAATAAAGACTTCAAATAATGACAACAAGACAGTCTGAATCAAATCCCGGCCAAAATACAAAACGCGCTAAACAGTCTGAGCCTTCCACAGGCGGCCCAGGCTCTGTTGGAGACTTTGAATTTTATAAGAGAATGTATGAAAATGAACAAAATATATCCTAACTTCCATTTTTTTTTTTTACAAAAATAGAAATAAAAATGACTCAACTTGTGTTTTTGGTTTGTTATTTACTGTTTCTTTGCTTCTAAAGCCATTTAGAAGCCGTTTATCGACATTTAAGATTTAGAGTTGCACCTGAACAATAGACCGGCGAAATTTCTCATTTTATTAAAGCACTGAGGTTACGACAACTTCGAGTTAAACTGATTTCACGGGTTGTCAAAGAGTCCAGCGATTCCTTTTTCCCACGTGAGCGCCGACTCATTTCGCTTCAATATTCAGGAATGCTCTCGATCTTTTTACGCTTTCATTGCCTCTCACCCGACATGTTTTGCACGGCGTTTGGTCATGCGAAACCTCCACGAAACATCCACGCCTCGCGCGGGGTAACTTTTTCCCGATTCTAAAAATAACTCGAGACGAATTACCTATGGAATAGGGTGTATATGGAGGATGCCCTCTCTGTCCCCTTTATAGTCTCTTGCTTTTGATGGATAAGTTATGGGTGAAAAATTTTGCCCGAGGCAGGGGTGCTTTAGACTCATCCAAAAGACGGTAAATTATTGCAGAATACTTAGCCAAATCTCCCCGAAACTCAGAAAAACTCAGAGAAACTCCCTTTGGTCAGCGTTGGCGTAATGCTTCCCAGATGTGACGGATTCAATTGAGGAGAGTGGCCCGGCCCAACTGTGGGGCTTTCCCTCCCAGTTACGCCAAACAAAAGCTGAAGGGTGACCTGCAGCATGTGTAACCCGGTTTGAGAAATCCGAATGGGAGGAGATAAAAAGAAGGAAAGACCCTGCGAAAGAGGGATGCGGGGAAGGAACCCCACAGTTGAGTCGAGTCAGGAAACCGTCCGAAGACTGGAAAAGGGGTGTGTTTAGGACCCCCCCCCCCCCCCCCGAGCACGACTCAAGTGTGGGGTAGGAATTATAGCAAGTGAACGCGAAAGAAAAATAGAATATACAAGAAAACTCGTGCAGATTTATTCAGGCTGTACGCTAGAGTAAAGAGAGCGTGGTTACGGAAACTGATATGGGAGTTACACCACTTTCTGTTTCTGCTATGTGACCTCGAAGGTCACAAGTGTAATAGGTGAGGAAGAATAAACACAATATAAAAAGTGAGACGTCTCAAGGGAACAGTTGCGAGGGGGCACGGAGTATGCTGACAATGCCATGTGTTGAAATTATACAAAGTGCAGACAATACAATGAGTAGGAAACGAACGGGAAAAATAAGCAACTGGCCACCTAATTTTAAAATCTTTCAAAACATACACGTAATATGCCATAAAGCACCAAAGGCTCTTTTAACAAAGTACATTTGCTACCCTGGTTTATACTTGACTTCTTGCCTTAAAGTAAGGAGTGTGAGAAAGGGATTACTCCTCAAACGTTTTATAGATACGATGGCCACGTCTTAAACTCTCTCACTCATTTCAAGCCCAAAATGGCGGATTTTATCCAATGAAATTATCCATTGTTATAGTAGACAAAGTTGAGACACCACCTCTACTTTCATTTGATAACCACTTTTAGTGCAGACACCGATGGAAATGTTGTTTACCAGAACTTTCTTTCCAAATCGGTCAATTAATTAACAGTCTGCTCCTTTGTGATTGACTTGCTAGAATAGATCTTGACAACAGACCAATGAACTGGTATGGCTAGCCAATTCAAGTTCTCTCTTCCCATTCTTAACCAATGGTTAAATTCGAACTTATCTGTTGCTTTTTAAGTTTGTTCCTGTAAACCTACATACCTTCCTCCCACCATAAGACATTTGTCGTCTCCAGCCATGAACAAATCTCTTGTTTTTGATTCTGATCTATGCTTCCGTAGTCCACTCCAAAAATACCTCTGAGGGTTTGGACTTAAGCGAAACACAAAAGTTTCCCCAGTCCCAAAGTAAGATAGGCTCTTTTGCCCACTCTTTCGTTCGCTCCAGCTCATGCTTGCAAATACACCAATGATCTGTTGTATGAAAAAAAAGAAACACAAAAAACGACACAAAAAACAAAACAACAACAAAACGGGTGAACATGTGGCTAAAAGTCAATCAGAGTATGGCAATCTTTGAGC